GGTGGGCGCTCTTAGGTTCACCCTAGTAGGTTCTTCTGGTTGACTAAATCGAGTCAACTGAGACGAATGAAAATTTACTAGCCATACTCTCTGACTGCAGCGCTCTTTCGAGGTAGAAAGAACACAAAAAAATCTAATTAAAGACGACATTACAATCACGATGCGGGATCTGACAAAAAAAAAAGAGAGACATTGTAAATAGAATCAAGCTTACAGAACAGAATGTGTAATAGTCAGAATTGCAAAGAATAATAAGGTTCACGTTGATATACAAAGCAGGGAATGTTTTGATAACATCCTCTTGGACTTGGAATACTTAATTACAGTAGTTTCCTCAAGAAATTCGAAGATGTTACGATGACTTAGACTTACAAGAATGTGAATGTTGGAAAACATAGAACTTGTGGATAACTATCATGATTAAATAGCAGAGGAAATCTTGAATTCATAGAGGATTATAAAGAGAAAAATTGAGAAAAGGGACAAAGTACAGGAGATACTCTTTAGTCACCAAAACAATGAACTATCTTCAGATAATTGAAGAATTGACAGACAAGAACATTCGCAACTCAAAGCAAATACCTCTATCAGTAAACAACAACATACTGAAGCCTAAATTATGCAATATGTATGGAAAATAGCGGTTAGAAAGCGATGATTACGATAAAGTCCTGAGAAAAGTTACAAAAGCGCTTATCAAAGTACTTTATTGTACCTATAGATAAGTCAGACTTTAAATTTAGTTCATCGGTAAGAAGTTTCATCTGATTATGTTAAAGCAAGAAATGGAACAGTCTGACTGAGAGAGAAGTACTTGCATCTCTACCACATTTTAAGAAAGAAGATTCGTACAAAAAGAGGATCTTCAATGCACTGAATATCACAATCCCAAATTCATTGACAGCCGTGGCATGTACGGCATGCCTAAAATGTACAAGAACCCATAAAATTCAGATTTAGAACAGAAACTAGAAGAAGTATACTTAGCCACTTACCAATACACTATTAATGGTACTAACACTTAAAAAAACATTTTACAAATTGCTGCAGCGTTATTTGGCAAAGAACAGGAGTGAAACACCTATGGCCTCTAGAAAACAACAATCAAACTGTAAAATATACATATAGCAAAAGCTATTCTGAAATTATGGTAGCCGATTCGTCCAACTAATTCGCCAGCCTATCTCACCAAGTGGTTAGATCTGATCTCAAAAGACTCATAGACCTATGCGAGCTTATAGAATATCAAAATAATATCAAAATTTACAACAATTTTTTGCAACACAGGGCAATTATAAACTGGTAGGTCTTTATGGTGACTCCTTATTGGAATAGAGTTTCCTGTTCGGTGGTATAATCTACCAACAGATAAGAGGCATACCCCAGGGAGCTTCACGTTCTCCAAACTGCACCCCCTATTGGCATACATGGATATGATTTCATGGGAAGACAAGCTGCAATTAAAAATTACCTTGTGAAATATATGTACAATCACGCTCATGAATATATTGGTGGCATACTTCATTTCTTCACCTCTGCTGTGGCCACTCCTCTCTTGAAACAGATCGAACAAATACAAATGGTACCCGCATTGGCTCTCAAATACCAAAATATGTATCTATACGCTTGCGTCAGAGTTCTTGAGATCTACAGAAACTGCTCTGGTTACATTAAATTCAAAAATAGAGTATCGCTTTGTCATACTTCACATAGAAATAGATGGGATGCATAATTACCGTTTTTGCTATACGTCTTTCGGACCTACATTAAATTAGAATAAATGCCAGCGCGCGGTAGTGCTGAGGCGGGACATGCGAATGCAACATCCGCTTTATATCATTTGAATGTACCATTCGTTGTACAGTCTGCCCCAAACCCAATCAGGCCAAAATTGGCATAGCGGGAGTCCGCGCCGCTAGGGTTTCGCGGTCACGCCCACGGCCTGCTTATCTGCTCCCTCTTCAATCTTCTCGCTCTCTCCAACAGCGCGCATAGATGTGCGCAAACGCCTAGCGCTGCGAGCGCGCAAATTTACGTCGACGGTTCGGCCTGATCCCGATTGGAGCAGACTGTATCATGTTACCTCTTTCGAAGTTGTTGGACTTACGATTTCCACTCCTCTTGAACTTCGTATTTTTTTGTACACCCACTAGGGCTTTTCATATATTGCTCTTCACACTCACTCAGACTACTCTCACTTATCTTTACAAACCAACCCAGGAGCTCTTTTGGGAATTAGTGATGAAGGGCGCCAAGAAAAGCTACAATACCAAACTAGTTCTTAGGCTCAAAACCGGCTGTGTTCGACATCTAAATTAGACTTTTGTTTTCCCTTGGTCTTCTTTCATTTTCTAGATACACTCATTCTAAGTATTTTTGCGAGTTCACATGATTTTTGATACTTTCTCATTCTGCAATCTTTTTGCAACTAATGATCTTCTCAAGTCAATTCATATCTCTTCTTTCCTTCGCAGTTTGATGGAAATCTGCCCAATACAACAGTAGCGAGGGTTCCGCATCACCACTTGCATTCTTTAAGCTTTTCCCATTTTAAGTCTTTTCGCTGTTCCATTTCTTCAGTTTGCTACTATCGCAAGTACCCAACATTTCAAATAGCTTCGTTTGATGTTGACTGCTAGTTTCTGAATAAAGAACGAACATTATGAATGAGAAGGCAAAATTGGGAGTGAGACTTAAAAGCTTCGCGGAGCTTTCAAAATTCAAAAGAGACTTTGTTGAAAAGGTAAAAAGACGACTTGTGCTAGGCCGTGCCTCGAGCAGTATTTCTGGTTTTCGTAATTTGTGTACCAGTTGCATCGCTAGCTGAGAGTGTTCACAACAAGTGTATTGGGGTGGGGGCACGCGGAAGGCGACAATACGCGCAATGCAAGTAGTGTACGCTCTTGCTAATTTTTACAAAATTTTACTTATGGCATCGAGTCGCGTATCTGCCCCCACCTTAACACTGCCTTTCGGCAGTGCGCGGACCTCGAATTTTTGGATTGACAATCCGTGCCCCTGGATGTCTTTGCTTGGCAACCCGCAGTTCAATGTTTTCGCGAGGGAAAGGCCGGACTCTATCTGTTTTGTCGGAACACCCACGGCCGACGAATATCCGGGCGAGCCGCGGTCCTTGCAAGGCGCCTTGCATATTTAGTTTGGGCAAGCCCGGCCCTCAGGCTACGCGCGACAGAACGACTCGGGCGAGCCTCGGGGTTTGTCGGACGTCGCAATTCTTATACGCTCTATGGAAAAACGTTACTTGAGATAGCCGCGATGATAGGGCTACCCTCTCAAGTAGAGTAAGGCTCCAGTCATCGATAGTGTATAGGAATGACATTTGATTTTGGAAATATGGGTGGAGGATGACTGTAGTCCAGAGTGGGTTGCCTTTCCGTATGGATTGCGACCTTTATGCCAGGGTGCAATTAAAATGTTGAAGATTTCTAAATGATTTAGATACCGGGTGCGTATCGGGCTACCCGCGTGCGAATCGCGCATTTATCGGGCGCTTGCCGGGTACTCATTGGCGCGCGTTCTCGGGATGGGTGGGTAGTCTGCGGATGCTCGCTACAATCGTCTTTTCAACGACTCAGACAATTGCATCGGAAAGTTCGCGGCCTCAAAGCGTGTTACGTGGCGCGCCGCGCCCTTGAAATTTCAGCCGCGCACGCCGCGGCCCATGTAAATTTTACCGGGGACGCCGCGGCCAAAGTTGAAATTGGGAAGAGATTATCAGGAGAGTCGTGGCCCAATCACCTCACTCGGCAGGCCGCAGGTTTATCAAAGGCAGCACCTCTTACACGCTGTAGGGTAAGGAGCAACCCGCGTGAGGTACGCCGCAGTGATGGGCTACCCCAAGTGTTTGTGGGGCTGGGTAATCGCTTCTCGGTTTGATCCTGTCTGACAGTTAAGTTTTTATGCTTATGAAACATCAGCAGTCGGATGAGTGATGATTTCGACAGATGAGTAACAATAACAATAAGCTAACAAGTTGCTCAATTTGCACTCAAGTCATTGTCATGAAAGACAGGCCAAAAGATTTTTCACTCTTCCTAGGCCTCACAAACATACTAGTCGGGTCAACTATCGGGCGCTTACAGGATGCGCCGCGATCACTTATAGGGTCCAATATTCATACCGCGCAGCTCGCGGCATGGATGATTGGTGGCTACGCATTCGTAGAGATGGCTCAACTCAGATTTGCAGTATAACGCGAAACAGCAATCACCCCCGCTAGTGTAGGATTGCGGTAGGAACGCCAGAATACAGAGACTCTGTTTAATAGGACTGTCAATGGAGAAATATTCAAACAAAAGTTTAAGAATTGTGTGGAATAGTTTTCATGCATTCAAAATTTACAAAAACTTTTTGCCTTTTGACTTTTAACGATATGATCATGTAATCACATTTTTGAGCCACACCGCAAAGACAGTACTTACGGTATACCTTGGATAACTTATCAAAGAAGCATTAGGGTAAAGTGCAATTTATGCTCAGGACCTGGTTAGTAAAGGCTGCACGATGAAGGCGCAGAAGCAGTATTAGTTGAGCGGGCAGCGAGTGCTGCGCGCGCGTATTTTCAACGATTTAAATCCATGCTCTGCAGCTAATGAGAACGCGTTCGCACCCAAAGATAGTGCGCCTTCATCATGCAGCAGCCTATATAAGTTTTTAGGCTGGTTTTATTTTTTTTTCTGAGACCAACTATGACCCCTAAATACTTGAATCCTCTTTAAAATTCATACCGTAATGTTGCAGTAAGTGGGAAGCTCTCGGTGAATCGCTCCACATTGTAAATTTCAGTTGGAGGAGGAGGAGTATCAGCGATCAAACAGTGTGCACATTTTCTGAGACACTCTGGATTTGAAAGAGTTAATTGGATTTTTTCTTCCCAGAACCTTCGAATACAGCTCTCTTTTCATAAACAGACATGCTTACAGAAAGGTGTGAATAAAATTGCCTCAGCACATAAAATGAACAGATGCTCTGTACTATCTTTACTGAACTAATAAGCTCATAAGAATTGTAAGTGTAGACATCAAATAGGATGCATAGTACGCTGAGGAAGATGGTGCAAATGTCGTAGTCACAAACGGTCCGGCTGGGCATGGGGTATTGCAGAACGACGAACTATTGCACAGCTTGTAATCGTAGTTAACCGAGTTAATTTGTCTGAAATGTTTACGTAGGTCCAAGCATGAAGATAGTAATTTATTCGGTTACTTACCTATATTCGCAAATGCCAAAAGAGGCGTATCGTCCTCCGTCTGGGTATAACAGTTCATTTGTATTTGAACAAGATTTCTTTATTGTCACGCCAAGTGACGTTTGCGTTCTTACTAAAACAACCTTTGAGTCTTGTTAGAAGAAAATTCGAAGTAGGAACTTGATATGAAGTAATTATATAAGTCCTTTGAAGTACGTTGATAACGAAAATATACGCGAAAATTTTTGTACAGGGCTAAAGGTTTCACATAAAATATTAGGTTGATTCAAAAATTCCGCTTTGATTTCAAAAAATTGACTGTTCCCTGAGTGAACGTTTTGATTTACTATACTACCAGAAAGAAAAATTTATCTAGTTTCTGATAATGTTCTTGTAAAACAGCAAAAGGCTTCAGGCATAAAAGTTCGAATAGAGCTACTCAAACTCGTCACTTTCGAAAATGATTCGTCAAAAATCTGAAGCGCTGCAGAAAAACCTGAGAGTATATTTTTAAAGGTTTTGTGAGCTGCTCTTTCCAATAGTTCAAGTTTGTATTAATCGAGCTTTTCTGTGAAAAGTTGTGACTTTCGTGAAAAATGCAATGCCAAAAACGTGATTTTTGCCTTTTTTGCATTTTCCATGCAAATCATAACTTTTTGTAAAAAGATTCTTTTAGTACAATCTCAATACCATTGAGGAGGGCATCTTACCAAAATTCTGAAAAGCATGCTTCCAATGTATTCTGCAGCGTTTCAAATTTTCGAAGATTTTTTGAAAATCACGAGTTTGAGTGGTTCTCCCATTCTTTTATTTCTGAAGTCCTTTTTCGTCAAAGAGCAGCGACATACGATTGAAAAGTGGATGAATTTTTCTATCAAAGGTGTTTTTAAAGTAAATACGTTCACACAGAGAGCAGCCACGAAATCAAACTAAAATTTTCAAAATTAAAGCGACAGAACTTTTGAATCAACTTATATACAAGAACTACAACAAATCACATAAAAAAATATAATGCAAGTACTGCGTTATGCTTTTCTTATTTTTTGCTTTTCTGTGAGTGAGAGAAGCAAAACGTTAAGAATGACACTTACGGAACAAGCAATATCGTCCCTGGCAAGATCCAGAAGTGCAGTCAGCTTGATTTGTTGCTTCGCACTGGTAGCAGCTGATCACTTGCTCTGCTTGAATAATATTACATAGGAATTACAAACTTTTCTTATATCACTTTCATTTTTGGGCGTTGACAAAACAAAACATTCGTCACAGCCTGTTATTTTTGGAGGAAGAAAATTTAAGCTTTTCGCAACGAACTGTGATAGAAGCGGGGTAGGAAGAGAAAGAGATTAGAAGTTTTCTTGCTATAGCTGTTGTACTTATTTTGGCTGAGTCTCTGACTTTGTGACTCTTCCCTGCACAACTTTTTACAAAATTTTCTGCATCTCTTCCTTCTCTCTTGATACAAGATCTTTTCTCTGCGTTAATTTTTCGACATCCACTTACCATCTTGAGCGGGACAGCCAATGTTGCAGTTGTTACCAGTATTACACACCTTTACTTCATACTGTATATCGTCGATTGTTCTATGAAATAAATAAACTGTGTGACCATCACCACTGATATCTGTCATGTTTCTTACCGATACTCGCATGTATTCAGGGCACTGGAAGGTCTGTTATCAGGGTACTCTACGAAGGGGACGTTGGTGCAGGACTTTTTGACGTAAGTGGTGCCAGTTGAACGACGTCGCTGACGTTCTAGAACATTTCAGTACCATTTTTCAAAAGGAGACAGTTGTTTACTTACGATAGAGACAGTACAGAGCAGTACATTGTCCTGTGAAGCAGTCTGCTCCAAACGATTCGCATTCGTAGCACGTGACCATCGGTTCTGCAATGATTTTCTTTTTTGTAGGTTTCCGTTTGTGAAAACGGAAGCAAAAAGCTAATCATTACGTTTTTGCGGTGGTTCAACTGTAGGTTGCAGCGGTTCGATTGTGACATCCGTATTGCAATAATTATTGCAGAAATTTGCATCGTTGCACAGTTTTACGTAATTGCTGCTCGTTACAGTGTTCCTGAAAAATTTGGGTTCAAACACTGTTCGTGCATATCATGCTGCTGTTCTCAGTTTGGCTTCGCTCTTAGCAGTGGTCAAAAAGATGTACCGTTAGGCTCCGGCCAGAGTTCAAAAGCGCCCGAAAGCGCCCAAATTTCCCTAAGCTTCTCATCTCTCCTCACCCAAAAAAATGAAGGGTCATTAGAGAAGTTTGGGCGCTTTTGGGCGTTTGGAACGCTTTTGAGCGAAGTCTGACCAGGGTTTTATAATGACACTAGCTGGCTTACCCGGCTCCGCCGTATGTTCCAAATAGAAAATTCCATTTCTCAACCGATGCGGACCAAACTTGGCACACATACACTTCGGGCCACGGCGGGTGTCACAGTCCACTTTTCGTTATCGATCGATGTCGATTTTATCGATTTTTTGCAAAATTTGAGCTAGGGGGCTGGAATTTGGCAGAGGGGTGTAATCAAGGGGGTGATCAGCATGCTCGATTACCCCCTGTGCCAACTCTCAGCCCTGTAGCTCAAATTTTGCAAAAAATCGATAAAATCGATATCGATCGATGACGAAAAGTAGCCTATGACACCCGCCCGTCCCCGAAGTGTATGTGTGCCAAGTATGGTCCCGATCGGTTCAGAAATGGAATTTTCTATTCGGAACATACGTACACACAGACATACAGACATACAGACATACAGACAAACAGACATTCGGCTTTATATTAGGTCATTCCGAAAGTAATTTCGCTTTTTTCAAACGGGCGCCACATTTGATGGAAGAAAGGTTTCTAAGAGATCTTGAAAGCATTCGATGCAAAATTTCATTCACTTTCTAACGGTTATGAAAATGTTGCAAAAGAGTCAACGAGCTTTCAGAAAATAACCAAAATCTGCGACCCATGCTTTTTGAGATGGTCAAGTTTCGCGATTTTTTGAAACTTTCATATCAGTCCTCAGAAGGAGTTCAAGTAACGGTTCGATAGAGTAAACCTTACAGAATTCAGTACTGCTTTTTTCTTCTTTCCATAGCTTGTCATACATTTTCAACAGAATTTTAACTGATGCTACCGATTTTCATACTTAGGCAGCTAAATCCTCGTAGAACATCAAAAGAAGAGCAGCTCGCGCACTATTCAATTCAGTATTTACTCCTCTTTCTAACAGGTGTTTTTTGTTTCCGATTGGTTTAGTTTCCGGGGAGAAATCATCATAACTCATGTTTTTAGCGAGCCCCAGGCTGCATCCGAAAAACTCGAAATTTGATATTTCGAACCCGTAACCCCTCACCTGCTTTGTAAAATTAATGCTAGCTCATAATACCATCTTGGTATTATCAAATTCCGAAAAATTATGATGTTTGATGCGATTGTGGCTGAGGAGGACCTGCCAAAATCCGATGGTTCTGTTAAAAAATCATTTAAAAAATTACGGCGAGCTGAGAGAAAGAGAAAAAGTAGCACTGTATTCTGTAAGGTTTACGCTATCGAACCGTTACTTGAACTCCTTCTGAGGACTGATATGAAGGTTTCAAAAAATCGCGAAACTTGACCATCTCAAAAAGCATTGGTCGCAGATTTTGGTTATTTTCTGAAAGCTAATTGAATGTTTTGCAACATTTCCATAACCTTTAGGAAGAGAATGAAATTCTGCATCGAATGCTTTTAAGATCTCTTAGAAACCTTTCTTCCATCAAATGTGGCGCCCGTTTGAAAAAAGCGAAATTACTTTCGGAATGACCTAATATATAAGATGGACCAGGGTCTTATAATGACATGAATGGTTTAGTTATGATCTCCATAACTACATCATCGTTTGGAGACTACAAATCTTAGCATCAATCTATTGGTTGATGGGAAGCTGGCTTTTTGCGGACAACTTGCGCTACTTTGCAAGTGAGGTGATCTCTCAGATTACTTTGAGATTTTCTTCGTTTTTTTTCACTGACTTTGAACGGATACGAAACCGGGGAAGGTACTGAAAATGTCGTATGCATCTGCGCATTGTTTCTCTTTTTTTGTGACGAATTTGAGAAATTATTATCCAGATATCAAACAATTGCAGGAATGCTAGTTATTTTTAGCCAGTTCAAGTATCAACTTTTTATTTCAAAATCGAAATAATAATAGCTATCTTTAAATAACATAAAGCCTGCAGGATAAGATTTAAGAAATGAGAATCGTTGGAATATGTACTATCTCGTTTCGAAATATAAAATTGATTTGCCGAGTATCCCGATTTTCAATGATGTTTGCTTCCAAATCGAGGAACCTGCAAACTTTGGTTTCCTTGTAGTGAAACTTGAGAACTTTGAAAGTTGTCGGAACACGTCACAAAACGCACAAGTTTTTTCTCCAGAGACAATCGTTTGACTTACTCGTTCTGGGGATGCTATGAAGCCAAGAAGCTTTATAGCAAGCTTCTTCGCCTTAGCCTCCTCGCTTTGCTTTTCCAAATAGGCCAAATATCTCAATTTTAGTACCAAACAATTCAACAAAATTTTTCTTTTAACCCTTGAGCAACAAATCAACAATCGACATGTCAAAATTAAGTTGCTGTGCGCGGCAACCTATCTGAGCAGTCTATGCTAAAGTACCGGGGAGGTTTTTTAGACATGATAGACTGATCGAAGAATCTGATAATCGCTACTCGAATGAGAAAATCGCACCTGATTTCACAGACGCCAACTACGTCAACGGCAGTTCCGTCGTCAAGAAATAGTAAAGGAACATCTGTGCAACCTTTCTTCAATATCATTTGATTACCCATAATCTTTCTTTCTAAAAAGTAATGTAGATGTCATCCAGACTGATGAGTGTCGCCACTCTTGAAAAAATCATAAGCTCAATACAAACTGCAATCTAGACGATGAAAACGTACCATACGTGCAATACCGTGCGTTGCACATATTTGTTTGACAATCTGTCCCGTCGTAAGTGGTGCAGTCGTAGCAAGAAACTAAAATCACTTGCTAGCAATAAAACAGATCCTTAAGGTCTAGGTCAAATGGGGTGTATCAGGATATTGACGCAATGTGACAGAACTGCCCTGACCAACGCAACTTCCAGTCCGATCGAAAAAAGTCGATTTTGAAGCGAGAAATTCGCTTCGAAAAAAAGGGGCGGTACTCCAACCCGCCTCCTTGACAAGTTTTGACGAGCCAAATCAAATTAGTACATCTAGCGCATTTAGCATGTAAAAACTTGTCAAGGAGGCGGGATTGAAGTACGGCCCTTTTCCGAAGCGAATTTTTTCGCTTTAAAATCCATCTTTTTCCATCGGACTGGAACTACTTCGTTAGTCATAAGGCTTGCTTTCCCACAGCGTTAAGACCCAGCACCCCCATTGATCTGGACAATGCCTTTGAAGTGAATTCTTCTACCTGTTCCGTGCGGAGGCTGTGAAGTCGCTGTCGCCGTAGTGATGCAGTTCCGATTGCAGTTGTCCTCCGAGGCACAAAGGAGCACATAGATTAGTCCAGTATTCAAACGTCTATACAAAATCTACGTATATGAGTAAGAATGGATCTGATAGTTCTTACCGAGCGACGCACTGATTGAGATTTGTTATCACCATCCCATCGTCAAATTGAAATTCTCCATAATTTAAACACGACTTCCGCACAGAAACCACTCCATTTGGACGCTGAATTTGCTCTAAAATTGCAAATTCAGGAATATGGTTCAGGTAATGCTGCCGAATAGATGTCAATTCAAAATTACTATTATTATACTCCTAGTTACGAAGAGTAACAAAGCTTCTTGACATTTCAACCAGGCAAGCTTGGCTCCATTTTCATCTCAAAGGAAAAGCTATGCGCCACGTAACGTGCTTGAGCAGCTTTCTTTTCGAAACAGATGTCACAGATATAGCAAGAAATTTTGATTTCGAGATTTTTGAAGCGTGTCGCCAAAGACTAGAATGTTGTAAAAAATTCCAGGCCCTTTGCTGACGTATACTCCATAAATTCTTTTTGAATGAACGGTATCTGCTGCAACCGAATATGCCTATAGGGTTGTAAGTTTCAAAAAAAACCCAAATGTTAGAAAAAGAAAGAAGAATATAGCAAAATCTGACATAGCAAGTAGAATGTGATAATTGCTTTTGATAGTTCCCAAATTTAATTGATAAATAAGATTACTGTCGAAAATTCTGTACACTTCGCGGATGGATAAGCAACATTTTGGATTTACAAATGTTTTCAGGCCGAAACGAAGTTTGTATGCTGAAGCATGTGTTTAAACATTGTGCATGTATGAACACACATTTTCACCTATTTTCAGTTCTCAGTTTCTCCATCAACTCAAAGAATCTCAGGCAGATCACATGCCTGTTTTGTAGGTAATTGTAAGAAGAGATTGTCCCAAAAAAATGAGCAAATGTTTAATTGCTGGTAACAAATCTCTCGCTTCAATTTTGAAAAGGGTTCTAAGCCATTGAGGTCGCTTTTAGATTAGGAAGGAAGCTGAATAAACCAAAATTCTTTTGCTGTGCTAATAAAAATCTCTGAGTTCGAATATGGTATTTTTATATCACAACACTCCATAAGTTATTTATTTCAGGTAAACCGGTAACAAGTGCTCTTCCAGTGTTCTTCAGCAATGTGATCACTTATCACATTAGAATAAAAGCTAAAAAAATTGATAGAATTCGTCTAGGGAAATTAGCATGCGTGACCTCCCAGAAATATTTGCAGATTTTTTTTGAAATTTCATCAAAGGCCTAGTTAACTTACAATGGCACTGCATGCTGTAAGTTCCTAACGAAGAGTGATAGGTAAATCGCTTCGATTTGTAAATGCAAGTCAAAGCAAGCATTCAAAATAGCACTTAAAATTGGCGAAATACATTGAAGCAAGTTATTAATGAACGAAAAGGCATATTTTTGGAACTGTTTACTGCGTTATGGCCATTGAAATTTGTGCCAGGTCCTGAGAATGAAATCTGAATTTGTGTAAGTCAAATGTACTTGCAAAAAATAAGTGTGTCATTGCAAGGAAATTGAAATGTCCTGTCTCTTACTTTATCGAGATGAAGAGGCTATTACATAACGAGATTAGAAAGTGAAAAAAAATGTGGAATATTTATACGGCATGTTCACGCTCTGCCAACGATGAGGTTCTGAGAAAGCTACGACTATGTATTTACATAGATAGAGCTTTGCCTAGCAGACTGGCTTTGGTGGAGAGATTGCAAACAGTAAGTATACTCACCGAAAAGGCAAAAATTCCCATAGCAATCTCCATTCGAAATACACGCTTGTCCATTATAGTTGTAGCAGCTCTCACATCTTACAGCTTCTAAAGTTAAAGAAAGCTTCCATTTTTCGATGATCAAAACCACAAAAAAATCACTTGCCTGCTATTTTATTTAAAAACATCATGAGACAGACTGCCTTGACATCAAGCATGTTGAAATGACGAAAGCGTTAGATCACTATGACTGCGCAATATGGGAGCGGTCTGTTTGCCGCGAAAGATTAGATGATGCCCGAGTTCGAGCTGATTCATGTTGGAGTACTCGGCAAATATGAAATCCTATGCAATCTCCGGTATCGTGGACTTTTTCTGGTCGTGAAGGGCAAAAGAATAACAACGCGGCAATCTTGAACATGACTTTCATTCGAAATCGTGCCTTTACTATTATAATTTCGTTAACGAAGTGGTCAATTTTTGTTTTGGAAAAGGGTTTCTTACAAGGAAAGGACACTCAGTCGAATTGGAGTTCCCAAATGAAATATACCGTCATATAGAGCATAAAACGCTGATTTCAAACTTGCTTTCGCTAAATGCAAAGCATTTCTGAGGAGAACCATTATGAGAATTTTTTGAGGCAAAGTTCAAGAATTCATTTGTGAGGTCTTTCCAGTGCTTGAAAAGAGTAATGACTAGCATAAGTTGTAATCAGCCCCATCTGAGCTCACATCCAGTTCATGATTTTACCATACTTGCGTGGTAAAGTTTTTGCTTTAAAAAATCCCCATAAGTCTCCTTGAAATGCTTTGCTGATGAAGAAAGCAGATTTGAAATCAGCTTGCCATGCTGTATAAGAAGGTATACATTTTATACAGAAACGCCACTTCGACCAAGTGCCCTTCCTCTGTTAGTACATGTATCACAACCCCAAAGGATGTTATGAGCATACTGCTGTTGAAACAACTGTTGAACTCTTGCCTTTGAACAAGCAGCAAAGGCAAAGAACCTCAAAATCAAAGCACCCCTCTTTGGGAAATATTTTATATTAGGTGCAGTTGATGCCCGTCACTGCGAGAAAAATATCTAGTCCCACTAACGTTTGCTTTAGATATTTGTGTTATATATACAGATGTATGTGTACATGAAGTTGCTTGCTCATGAAACTATCAAGTTTCCTTGCCAATTTGAAAAGTGACGAAGACCGGTCACGTCAAAATGCTGATCTTGAACCTGAATATGGCTGTGCTTAGTGGAATGAGTCTAAAATATATTGATATTTAGTGATCAATATCCTAGCATTTTTGCTTACGGTAAGAAAGTTTTGACCTCAAGGAGAAGCGAGCTCTTTGAGATCAAAACACCCGTTGTTGACTGCTTTCTAGACAGGGCTCGACACGAAGTGGCTTTACGAAAATGCAGAAAAACGAAGTTCCTGTTCCCTCGAAGTCCCTTCACTTTCCCGAAATTCGACGAAGTCCCCTTTGACTCTAAACCGTAAACGTGGAACCCTTAAAAAACTATACGTCGACTATAAAATATAACCAAACTTGTTCCTCAGCCACAAAAAACGATATCACCTTTGCTTTTTCTTCCAAAACGACCAAAACGATGTCCAGCTTGTCTATGAGCACCTGTGCCGAGCCCTGTTTCTAAAGAGCGTCCGTATGATGCTGATGCTTGCGTATTCGGATTTTTGAACGCTCCCAGTTTCTGTCAAAAGTTCCTGCAAAAGTAAACATATTAGGAATGCAGTGTTTGTAGCCAGCGGTATACATTACCACTCACGTCAATACGTTGTACCAGTTTTCCAGTTTGTTTTGTGAGGACACAATGTGGAAATCTGGTATATCAGGTCGGACAAAAAGTTTTTGCCGTTTTACCCTATCCGAAAATCCTGCAGAATAGAAAGCGTTCTAGTCTGCATTTGATGATTTATTATTTTCTTATTGGTTATGTTTCTTTGGTATTTTCGAAAAGCACCTATTCAGATATATCTTGCAGTCCACCCATAGTTCTCTCCAGCCTAGCTTTACCTATTCTTCAGCTTCTAATCCCAACTTTTGAAGGATCTTCCACAACTAACAGATTAAGCGAATCATTTGCGATGCCGATGCAATACTTCTTTATTCGTTTCATCATAGTGGATTCCTGGCAGTCTTACAGTTCATTATGACACTCTTCGGACCAGACCATAAACATTTCCTCCTCTGTTTTCACTTGCACGTATCGTTACAGCTTAACATTTGCAAGCCTCGTGCGGTGCTCCGCGCTTACATCAACTGATCAAATTTGCAAGCCTTGCAAACTCAAAAAAGCCTTTTTAACTGCTTCAGCAATCTTGCTAACATGGCGCAAAAACACAACATAGTCATTCAAGGCATCAGCTCTCTGCCCCAATTATCCTCAAAATTTGCAATAGTGCAAAGTGACGTGTTCTCTGGATGCAAATCTCGCCCAACTTGGACTATCTGATCTGTTATCAGGCTATTCGGGAAGTTTTTTCGTTTCCGCACCTTCAAATTCAAACGAGCACAATTTTTTCTAGATTCAGCCTTTTTCCATCAAATAAATTGCATTGTGTTCAGCAAATTTCTGGTAACACTCATGTCACCCTTGTACTTTTTTCTTGCGAAATAATCTCAGAGGAATCAATAAAGTTTGAAAAGGCGTTTTTGACTAGCTAATCTTTATTAGGTCCTATTATTTTTTAATAGGCACCGAGGAATTAGAAAATTTGGTGATTGGTAAAAGGAGGTCTAAAGAGTTCGAAAAGTAGACAGGAACCTCGGTGCGCAGTCAACCTCTTTTGTGAGAGCCACTTTTCTTATATGTGGTTTGGCGGAGTCATGGGCGTGGATGATCTCTCATAGCTTATACGTGCAAGTCCGCTCAGTTTTGAAATTTTGACAAACGGTCTTCAGAGCGATATCACACTGCTCTGCTCTTACAGTACAATCACATCTTAGCAAGTTTATAGCGTCAAGACCAGTAGGATTACATTATTTTGAGTAATTCAACCTTTCGGAATGACTGATTGTTCCGGCCATGCTTTCAATGCTTATTCCAAATGATTTACCATAATGTCGCTTCTTGTAGCCGCACTCGGCCAAATTTTTGCTGTAACCAATAACCCAGGACAAAAAAGGATTGCTATATCAAATTTTGAGCAACGAAAGCAGAATCAACGCGCCTTCAATCTGCGAGTGCGACAATTTGTGGGGTACATGTCACTGATTTTGGTATTGTAGCTTTAGCGAAGGTGGCTTCTAAAGGGGTTATATGACACTTCAAGACCTGCTGAATTTTACGCAGCTATATTTGCAATTTGCTTCAAAGGACCCTCTGAGATGCTCGTTTATATGGCAGGAACACCTTCCAGGACACCGCAAAATATTAGCTTTCACTTCTGTGGATCTGAACTTTTTGAAGTAAACTTGAACCTACCTCAAGAAAGGATTGGCCTTGGCAAATGCATTGCGCACAATGATGGTTTCCTCAACGGTTTTACACTCAAGTTTAAGCTTAGAGAATACAATTATTCGAAAATCGCGTTTTCGTATGTTGAATTTAGCGTCGCGTAAACTTCCCTACAAAGCGTTTTTTGCAACTTCGGTAGGATCCCCAGAAACTAGAAGACATCCTCTACAAATCCATATATAACAGCCCTATCAGCCCTCTGGCACAAAATATGGTACCAACATCAAAGACGCAAAAAGCGAAAAAACTTTCCGAATGACCTAATATTATCTTTCCTAGTTTCTCTACCTATTATGAATTTTTTCGCACCTTTCCTCAGTGATGCTCAGGATAAATAACGCATTCGGAATACTCTCTTTCGCAGATTCTTTTCTTTTTTATCAGTAAAAAAATGCAGAAAAGAATAACTGAAGCGCAAATCAAGAAGTTTCAGCTCTCCTGTGAAGATGCTGGTACAGACTTCACTTTCGAGAACTCGCGGCTAGAGCGCCAATGGGCCCAAAGAATATGTAGCAGCTATGTACGAAAGAGCTGAAACAGCTTCTCGGGAGGGGGAGGGGGGGGGGGAGAGAAAGAGAGAGAGAGAAACGACAAAAATTTTTTGAATGAAAGGGATGCTTTCCAGAATTCTACCGATGACACTGAAATCTCAGTACTATAGGACGGCGGTAGTCACCATCGAAAATACTTTTACAAAACTGATTTGAAATTTTGATAGTCTCTAAGAATCATTATATTAATGACTGTCTACAAGTGGAAGCAAGTCATTCGCGAGTTTTTAATGATTAAGCGGCTTTTACCCCCCCCCCCCCCCCCTCCACCTCCCGAATCCCCTCGCCATCGGTACGAACGGAGTCCAAACAAAGATATTCATAATTGCAACATACTGACGCGATTCTTGCAAACGCGAAAAAAGTATGTGCTTAGATAGTGTTGATAAAAAGAGATCAGCATTAACAAAAGCAAAGCTCGACGTTAATGATGATGTAGCCTAAATTATGAAAAGATGAACTTTTCTGCAAAAGGAATAATGCAGAGTTAAATCTTATTGACGTCTAGGCACGATAATAATCACTTAACCTTCTTCATTTACCGAACCCTAAGGGCTAGAGAAATTTGAACGAATCCATGCCAAGTGGTGCCATCATTAACACATTAACGATCCCTTGACAGACATGGTGCTTCAAAGCTTGGTTTTCATCGAAATGACTACTACATACATATTAGGTTGGCTGGTAAATAAGTTCGGTCGCTTTCGCGGCTCTTACAAATGTTGCAGACAAGCTTTTGTCCAGCCTTTGATATCTCTGAAGAGAGCACTTCAATGGAAACTGAATATAAATTTTGTTTAAGTAAAACTTATCCTCCAAAGAAAAAATCCGCAAAGAAGTGAGAAACCCCAATTTTGTCATAGTGCGCAAATATGAGGAAAATTGCTTTTAATAAATGATTTTCAAAGTGGCAGATCATAATTTTCGTGTTATTCACTAAGCAGGGAAAACTTCTCCGTTTCCAAATACCGAACTGCTGTCTTCTACATCCATTACAGCGCGAAAAGAAGCTTAGTAAGTTAAGGAATTAAGCTTTTGGAAATTTAGCCATGTGCTGAGGCATAACTGTCTTTACTGGTGATAAATTCTAAATACTTGATATGTGATATAGGAAGCTTTAAACTACTTTCCAACAAGACATGGACAGAAAACAACTGGGAAACTTTTTATGAAGATCTGCCAGCCAATCTCAGTGATTGCTAGCCAACCTAAGGTCAAACCCACTTCTGGAGTTTGCATTTGTGCTGAACTTAGGATTGACCTCCACTGTTTTTTGTCAACCTATCAGCGCTGCTGTAGGTAAGCTGTAGATGGGATTATGCGTGATTTTATTTGAGAATGTTGGCTAGTCCATAGAAGGTCTTGGTCGTCAATGTTTTAAGAAAATCTCGGTGACTGCGTGCCCGTTTCAAGCCTTTGAATGAGATTTATCATTTTCTTCCATCTTACTTTCCGCTTTTGTACTTCACTGTTTTTTCAAAAGCATATTTTCCTTAATTTTTATGTGCAGTCTCGTTAAGACTTTGTACAACATGCAAAATTGCTTGTTTTTGTTGTAGAGGCAAGTAAAAAAATTTGTAGCTGCAATTTTTACAAAACACACTGATATTACTCCTTCGTTCAAGCCTTCTTGCTTCTTTACAGAGCATTATTCGCTTCTTGTTGATGACTTCACTTTTTGTTTTGCAAAAGCAAAACTCAAATTCATTAATTGCTTCTACACGTATGCTTGATGTCAGCGATGGTTGTCAGGGTGATCTAGATAAGAAAGCATAGTTACCACTTTGTTTATCACTACAACACAAGCTCTTTTCACTGAAAACCGTTGTGCTGTTGTGGGTGACAAAAAATCTTGGCACACTCATCGCATTATCTTTATGGCAAAAGCGAACCCATTGGCCTTTCTGGGTAAACATAGTGTCTGGTTCACTTGCGCTTATCACTTACTCACTCACCCTGTTATTTTTCGTTTTTATCACCTCCTTGGACTGATAGCGTAGGCATAAAAAATCTATTTGCTCAGATATTGCATCGTGCAATGGCTCCAGCAAAGAGCACCATGCCTTATCGCTTTTAGCGCCTCTCCCACTGAAGTTCCAAAGTAATATTGAGATTTAAACCATGTTCAAATCTATCTTCTTCTTCTGTGGGGCGGCTCTGTACGGATAGTTATGATAATTTACCGGAGCAAGAATATTGAGCACAACTAGGGTAAAACGAGCTGTCAAAAAATCCTAGCTCACTTGAGGCAGCAATGGGTAAAAATGTGTTTCAATTTTGAACATTTGTCGCATAGAAAGTACTCCAAATTCTCTTTTCAAGACATGCTCGTTGTGCCTCCAGTAAACGCTCATGACTCTTCTTCTGGAAAAGTCTCCGCTAATAAGGAAGGCAGATTTAGAAACAGCGTCCTATGCTCTTTTAGATACTTTACTTCGTTTTTTGAAAGGCCACTTCGGCTGGCTATCCTTCCTTTATAAGAGTAGAGAATTACAGAAGTTCAATGAACGACCACATGAGTGTTTTCTCACAGCTTATTATTTGTCACAAATGATTTCTTGTGTTGATTTTGTCCGAAAATGACGCGCATTGTTTGATCAAAGATTTGGCAACATAGACGCTTGTCAGTTGTCCACATCGCATGTTGAGCAAATTATTACCGAGTGTTTTGCATAAGAATTCCTCGTTATGTCCTTCATATAAACCACACTCCATCTTCGTGCGCTCATAGAAAGTCTATTAGCAAATTGTGCATCCATCAGCTTTGCGTTAATTCTGGAACTTATTTGGACTTATCACTACACTTCAATCTTTGAATCACATTAATATTAGGAACTATTGGGGTGAAAGTCAGTGATCTTGTGATTCACAATGAACCCCAGTTTTCGTCCCCGTTTAGCTCATAGGAATTTCATAAATTTATTTTTCCCTCCTTTCTTCACCCCCTATGCGACTTTCCATAGTTTGGAAAACTGCGCCACCAAAAAGAAATGTCCTATTAAATCAGAGTAACTAACAGTGAAGACAGCATCCTACAACATTTTGCAAATAAGATTCCTTCAGAAAGCTGTGATTACGCACTTACTGCAGATATAATAATATGTCTACGTGAACTCGTCCGAAGTGAACTTCACTATATGCGCGATTCGTTGTAGCATTAACAGTTAATTCCTGATTTACACTAATCAAACGGGAAGAATTATCTAATAGATTCGGTGATACTTGTCGATTCATTGATAGCGGAGGATATGCTTATTTTTTGGCTTATCATTCCAGGAAATAATTAGGGCATTTTCATTTTTGCTGTGTCGTCAGGTCTATTTATTTCTATTTGCCCAGGATCAAACAAAATGGAATTTGGAGATACTTAAGATACTTTTTTCACTTGCCGGATTGCATCGTCAGTGGACCCCAAAACCTCGAATTTTTGCCAAGTTCAAGCGTGTGCTTCTCAGGCAGAAATTATTGAGGAAACTGATCAAAGCTGTGATACAATTGCATCTTCAATCCAGTAAATTAATCACATACAAGAAAATCAGATTGCTGATTTGTTGATTACAATGCAAATGACTCTTGAATTAAATGTTGAACTTGCTACTTACAGAGGAAGCCTTTTTGAAAGAAAGTAGTCTGTCCAATGAGTTATCACTTTGGAGATCGTAGGAACGCTGGTTCCACATCTGCTTTCCTTTTCTGCGGCACCTCACTGGAAGAATAAGGGCGTTTGAAGGTCCAATTTTGAGAATTTTACGTGGCATAAAGTTAGCGAAAAAGTGTAAATACCTGAAAGTGGCTAACATTTTTGTATGAAGCATATTGACTACAAGAAAGGATCATAGCCAGACAAATCCGCGTAGATATTGCTGTAGAACTTTTCGCTAATTTTGAGCCACATAGAACTTGTCAAAAGAAACATTGTACCACAGCTTCTTCAACTACAAACTACAAACTCTGTGCTTCGATGCATATGTTCTCGAAGCTTTTTTCTCTTCCCTTGTTTTTTTTACGAAACATTTACACGCGTTCTGTTGCAATTATTCCGTGAATGGTTACTTTATAGCCTCATTCTCAATCTTTTCTTCTTTCTTTCTAAAACTAAATGGTTAGTTTCACTTTCCCTCAAACGATTTCTGGAAAGTAAATATCAGCCATTCCTCGCTACTGTGACGTTTTCATACTGGTTCGCAGCCATCTTTTTTTGAATATTTGCAGATCATGAAGAGCATGCAATAACTTAGAAGAAAACCTTCTCCTCGCGTTGTTGGTCGTCCGTTTCTGCATAGCGGTCCAACAAGTCCATAAAGAAGTAAGCTTGAATTCATTTCACTACAAAAGTAGTCCTGATGATCGCTTTCTTTACAAATCCACCAGAAATTTTTTTTCATAATTTTTCAACCGTGGGACTTCAAGTGTTAGTAATGACTTGTCGCTCTTACCATTACTTTGCATATTCTTCCAAGTCTCTTCATATTATCTTCTTGGAGACTCTATCTTCTTCACCAAAGAGTTTTATTCCAATAAGTTGTATTTCAAACTTGTCAGCAGCCTTCTAAGACAAAAGAACATTATGATCGTGCCATTTGCACCACACATCTTTGTACAGTTCTCAGTCTTCTGTTTTTTCCTTCTACATATCATGACAAATAACAGAAAGGCAACAACGTGATATCATACTGAACAAAGCGATAAGCTTTTCAAACCTAGGCTTCAAATTAAAAGCAGAGCACTATAAAACGCCTTGTGCTTCTGGAAATCAAGAGATACTGTATACTAATTGAAATAATGATCTCTCAGTATTATCAATGCTCCAATCAGGCTTTTCGAACTTTGAACTGATTTTGAGCGTAAAGTTGATACCTTTGTGGCGCGCTCCTCTGATTTTTGATGTCATTTCACTTATTACCGCTTTTTTCTACTTGTTACTTTGGGAGAATATTTAGGCGTTTACATAGCGCAGAAAACGACTTATATTCACTGTGTACCGAGCATTAGGAGCAAGTAAGATAAGACCGTGCCATCGCTACTCCTCATGCAAGCAACCATCGATGAACTTTTTCAGTTCTTGCGCATTGAGAATAATAATATGTAGGTTGTTTCAAAAATGGGTTTGCTTTTTAAATAAGCGCCACATCATGCTGCATGGAGATTCTCCGAAGGTCTTGATTGCACATGGTTCAATCTTCCCACTTCTGAGTCATAATCGCATTGAAGTATATTCAACGGCTCTTAAAATCACCGAAAGAAAACTTTATACCAATTATCCAAAGAAGAGAAATTCAAGTGACTGATAAATAGAGCAAATCTTAAGAGTTACAAAGCAATTTTTTGCTTCTTTTCATACTTCGCTGTATTTTTTGGTAGATCTTATTCGCAGCCGCATATTTGGTCATCCCAAAAGGGCTGGGCATACTTTACGCGATTTCGCGACGCGATTTGGCAATATTCCAACTGTCCATAAATCACTGTAAAGATATTTCAAACGTACAACATTTTATCTATCCACGTAAGTTAAGCAAACTATGCATGTGCAGTCTGCTAGTGTTGGATTCGAAGAATTCTGGCGAATTGCCAAATCGCGTCGCGACTGAAACGCGTGAAGTATGTCCCGCCCTAAACCTGGCAGAATATCAACCGGCGAGTAGCTGGGTGTCATTTGATGCAGCCTTCTTTCCTCTTTCTTAAGGATATTTTTCCGATTCGTAAGGTCTTTGGGACAAACTCATCATATTTGTGTTTAAACGCGCACCAGGCTGCACCCGAAAAGTTCGTCTGTTCATTTTGAAAGTTTGAACGCTTATGTGGTTTGTAAAATTAGTGCTGAGTCCAAGTCAGTCCATTCCTAGAAACTCAAATTCTGAAGTGTATTGGTGTTGATGGTCCTAGTTTTTGGTAATTTTTTTGTAAGATCCTTGGTTACGCTGCAAGACAATCATGACCGTTTAGAAGAGAATGAAAAGTTGTAACAAATGCAGCCAGGATATTTTGAGAATTTATATCTGCAGATGTGGGGTTCGTTTAAAAAGTGAAATTACTTTGAAACGACCTAGTAGTGACATGTGTCCATAGATCAAGCTGACAAATGAATTTTTCTTATCAGATCAGAGCGATTTTCACGCGAGTTTGGTGTTTCTTGAGAAATCTCTCCTCCCTCCTTTATTTGATATATGGCTTTCTGTTAATTCAATAAATTCTTTGATTCTGAAGTTAGAGCAAAGTCGATTGTACGACTTTCGCAAGAAAGTTCCAGTCTCATGTCCAAATGTTGCAGAGTTCCTTTTTTTCTTGTACCGGCAAACCTCTAAGTTTCGGCACACCCTTTCAGGGAGGGGGCGGGGGGGGGGGGGGGGGGCAAGAATATGGCTTCAAAATTTTTGCAGGTTACTCACATGAGTAATAAGGTGTGCGAATGACTCCGTTGTACGTCTAAAAAAATTAATTTTTGAAATTTATTGAAAATTCAGATTAGCTCTGCAAAAAAGTTTTCTTCTAGGTTGATACGGCTCACGCGCCCGCAAAAAATTAAGAAGCAGCCCAGAAAATTATTTGAAATGCTTGATGAAAAAAAAATTTCGGTTTTACCCACCCCCCCCCCCGCAAACCTTGGACAGCCACTGCCTTTCACCAAGTACTTCAAAAAATGGAGACAAGGCAAAGTTCATATTTTTCGAAAGGGAGGACAAGACAGTTTTGACGACCTTTTTATCGTTATCGCTACTTTTTATATACAAAAGCTGCACTTATCTAAATTTGATTTGTCACCGTAGTTTCTGGACATGTGGTATTTATAGCATAAAGCACCAAACAAAAGAGGATAAATAACAAATATTGAGTCACCTATCAAATTACAGATTATATACATTGGAGTGTGCATTTACAGAAAAGGAAAATTTATTTTTCCAGAATGGGTCAGTCCGTATCAAGAAGTGATTTTATGTGGACCTATACGGAGCAACCACATCTAAATAGAAGGGAGGCGATAGTCAAAGCTCATCCAGAGATCAAAGAGGTGAATACCCGCACTCACGGTGACTAAGACCGATGAACACCAGCGATCACTTGAGGTCGAACATTTTAGTGTTTGCCAACATTGTTTGTTTGCAGCTTTTTGGCATCGATGAGTCACTCAAATATGTTGTTACAGCAATGGTGTTTTTTCAAGTATTCATGTGCTGGCTACTACAAGGTAAGTCAGATACATTCTGGTTTTCAGTTCAATCTTCTGACCACGAGATCGAAGTGAGATTAAAGATCGAAATCATTTTATGTGAAATGGTAGGAGGTCAAATAGAGAGGTTGGGTAAAAACAGACACGGGGAAACACAAATTTGCAACATGTAGGGATATACTAGTTCAGACGGTAGAAAAATATTAAGCCCAATACTGTAAATCGCGCAATAAGATTCCCTATTTACTGGAATAATGAGGGAGAAGAAATGCTGCAAAACTTTGCTTTTCAATAAAATCATAGAACCAACACAGTCGTTTTCAATCGGTCGCATTCTTTCAAGAACAAAGTTGAAGTAAGTTCAGCGACAGGCAGCGTCCCGGCAAAATTTTTCTTCCCGAATTTTTCACCTTTTCGGAGAATGTTCTCGCCATGCTGAAGCCATAACTGAGCTTTTCAGCGCTTGAAAATGTCAAAAATGAGCTTTTTTTGAAGCTCTCCGTGTCCGTTGTCGCTCCAAATTACGTGTAAGCTGAGCGGGATCTGGAGATGGGCGGGGCCTGGAAGACTTCCGGAGCGGATTTTGGGCTTTTTAGAAGCGCTTTTTTGCTCCAGACTTTACTGAAAGACTATCTGGACGGTTTACCCTTGGAAAACTGTAAAATCGCAGTACCCATCATTTTGATGGGACGCTGCCTTTGACGTCTGAAGTTCACAAAGTTTCCAATGAAGTGTACAATTGTTGTACAAGGCGTTAGCAAACTTCCTTATATCGTATAATCTTATTAGAACCATGCTTAGCGCAATTTGGTTAGATAATCAGTCTTTGGGTTTTTTTAAAACTCTGAAGAAAGAAAAATGACTTCAAAGAAAAGACGGTCGGCCGCCGGGGGTCATCGGGGGATCATATGAAATGTTGGAAAATGCGGCTTGTACAGCTTCTCGTTCCTGTTCAGTATGTTTATGGTGAAGGATGGTGGAGATACTAAGAGATAGGTGGACAACTTTGAGTTCATATATCTTGAGCTTCAGAGTGTGGAGCTTTTTTTTGGGCTGCGATCCCCTCCCCAGCGGGGATGTGGTGCATTCGGCCCTGGGACGCAGGTTGATGCAGGACCGAATGATCTCACGTGTGTTGGCATGCGTACTCTGCCACTGATGAGAAAACCGCAGTCCGACCCTGCTAACTCATTACGGCGTACGTATCCCGACTTTTAAAACGTGTGTATCGCACCCATTCTAAAGCCCTGGGCATATCTCGAGTGAATGTAGTCGTCACGCGATCTGGCAATCTACCAGATGTCTTTAAATTCAATACTGGCAGAACCCAAGTACACAGCGTGTACAACTTACTTAGGTTGATAAAATGCCCTATCTTCCGTAGGTTCAGAAACCCTATTACGATGAGTTATGAACTATTGGAGTTTTGCCAAATGTCGCGACTGAAATTGCGTGAGGTATGCCCAGGGCCTAACTTTATAGCTTCGGGCTTGCGCGATGGGTGGGCGTATTATCCAGAATCCCCACCTTTCTTTGGACGCTTAAAATCCATAGTTACACGATCGGGGTGAGCCATGATGCAATTGTCTACGTAACGTTGAAGTGGGGTGGTTATGATTGCTAAATTTCTTCTTTGCTTTAAAAGCTCAGTAATTGGCGTTTTTTCCTACAACAAGCATTCTGCGACATCCGCAGATATCAAAAACATGTCTGCGAAATATTGTGCTTATTGCTTTGAAAGCAAAGATTTCTACAAACACATAGCGTACACGAGTGCGGATTCCCAATACTTCAGCTATTTTGCAAGATAGCGATCGCTGGAATTTTCAAACTACCAAAACGTGTTAGTTATAGATTCGGACTGGCTGCTGATACTTCTAGAAGCGTATTTATGTGGAGGAGTGATAAATCATGCTATGACTTTGGCTATACATGATATTTCACACAACACCGTATTTGGGAACAGATATCCGCTTTCAGTGAGTGTTTCCAGCCTACCTGTTCAGCTTTCAAATTCATCTCTGTCTTCAGAATCGCTTCTTTGGAATGTTTGCCAACCTACCGATAGGTGTGCCAATCTCTGTTTCTTTCAAAAAGTATCATGTGGAGCACCATCGATATTTGGGTAGGCCATGTGTCATGAGTCTAGAATTCGCGATCGCAACACTAAACAGCTAACTATCTCCACAATCTAATTGAGGCATCACTGAAAATTCAACCTTCTGAAATGCGAATTGATGTTTTTCTCACACTGCAATCCAGTTTATATTTCGTCAAAAAGTCACCGAACTCCGCCTCCACTGAAATTCGCGTCGTCGTCGAATCCTGGTTCAGAGTGGACGAGTTCTGACCAAAGGCATCGATCGCCTAAGTTGGCGGGATGCATATTCTTATTTAGAAAAATGTTCATTTGAAAGCACACCAAGTGTCCTAACGTAACAAAAATGCAGAAAGATTCGTGAAAACCACCTACCCTGCGCTTACCGTCCCCAAACGGGCACTTGCACATACCAGAAGGTGCGCCTAGCCGAGTTGAGTCGAGCGGTGCCCTTGCAATATTCATCCACTCTGAACCAATGGCGATGTTTTGCGGATAGGTGAACTCTGTAGTTCTGTGAAAGATCCGAAGCCATCCTATAATGTTTTCCCTTCCTTTTTGTAATAGTAGTCTTCGTTATTGTACTGTTCAGGCGAGGATGGATTAGACACTGATGTGCCTACTGAATTAGAAGCTCAGCTGTTTACAACACCGGCAAGGAAACTTGTTTGGTTGGTGTTCCAGCCATTATTTTATGCGTTTCGTCCCTTGATCATCTATAAGAAAGCACCCACTGATCTAGAGATTATTAATGCCATAATCCAGGTAAATCGAGCTTATTGTTGGAAATAATTTGAGCATATGAAAAGTAGTCGGTGTGTTCTTTGTAGTAGCAGAAATGTCAAAAAATTCATGAGAACACTTCTAATTATGACTAGTTGCAGATAGCTTTCGATTTATTTGTTCTGCGATTTTTTGGATATCGATCTCTTGCGTATCTCATTATTGGTACACTAGTTGCCATGGGAGTTCATCCCAGTGCGGGTCATTTTGTATCGGAACATTACGTCTTCAAGGAAAACCAAGAAACCTACAGGTTTGACTTACCCATTATGCAATTGATCCTTGAAGGTGCCATCCACCCAAAATGACTATGGTGAGATTTTGATGATGTATGATAGCGGAGCCCTAAACAGGTAATCATCAAGATGTAAAAGACGAATTTTGAAGCGAGAAAGTCGCTTCAGAAGCTAGAAGCGGCCACGAGGTTCCCGTCCATCAGTTGTGTGCTCTGAAGAAAACGTCCAAAATCAAGCTTTGATGTATCTAGAACTGAAATAAATCCGTGCTCCATTACGATCATTAAATTTTCCACATTTTCATCTACCGTGAAGTCTTTTGTGATCCCGACCTCCTCAGACCACCCACGTGATGGGGGAGCTACTTCAACCGGTTCTTCCTGGAGCGATTTTCTCGCTTCGGGATTCATCTTTTGCGGCGCGACTGGCTATTACTTAGTTAGGGGCTCCGCTATATATATATAGCATCATAATCTCACCATCCTCAATGTGGTTGGGCGGTGCTTCTAAATTATGTTACAGTTACTACGGACCGTGGAATTTGTGCACGTTCAATGTGGGATACCACGTTGAACACCATGATTTTCCATACATACCCGGAAGGAACTTGCCTAAGGTTTCAAGGTTCTAAATGAATATTCCCGAATTATCACTTCATTTCAGGTTTCACAAATTGCTCCCGAGTTCTATGAGGGATTGCACACACACTCCTCCTGGACAAAAGTGCTTTTCGACTTTGTTTTTTCTCCAGATATGGGACCGTACATGCGTCTCAAAAGAAAGGCATCAGTAGCGCAAACATTCCAAGCAAGACATGCTTTACTCGAATATTTCCAGGCGGTGGGTATTACGGCTACTTACAGCTTCCGAGCCAATCCCTAGTTTTGCAGATTTTCAAGCACAGCGGGTTCAGTGATATCAGGCAATTAATCAGGCATTATATGGAAGTCAACAATAACAAAGAACATGCTAAATAAATTTTTAATCACTCATATATTCATTCATAAAGTATTAGTTTTACGGTTTTTACCGACCCTTTTCTTTGTCGAGTTGAAATTATGCGACTCAGACAATTGCGTACCGCTTACCAGGATTTCCGAGGGGGGACAAAAAAATTTCCTCGTATGGAAGGTGCGTGGAGGAGCCACGACCTCAAAATATTTTCAAAGACTTAGCTGAATTTTCAAAAAATTCGCAAATTATTTCGATTATTTCAAAGTGTAAGCAAGTCACTTGCACATTTTTTATTACAAGCAAGTAATTTTCAAAAATTTCGTGACGTTCTCAGAGTATATGTAGCTTGCTTTCTTGACAAGAAACAGGTTACCCTAATCGTTATTTCTGTTTCTGTAAGTATTTTACAAGAAATACCTTTTCAATAAGAGGCCATTCAAGATGAAGTATACGGGGTGTCCCAAAAAATGTGAACACTGTTTGATTGTTAATAACTTCCTTGCTTTCATGTCTTTCGCCGAGCTTGAGGCACCATTCTATAGAGCGAGGTTTAACTTAGATTTACAGTTGGAGCGAATCGTTGATTGCTCTTCGTTACTGTAGGATTACGGTGGGAACTTCGACAAGGATTTTAGGCCATTGGAGGTTATATTCTGCCTCGAAACAAAACCAAACAAGCCCAAAAACTTCTACACTATGGTAATGGAAGCCGCTGATTTCGAATATGAAATTTAACTATGCTGTGATGCTTCTTTCCATCTTTATCCCAGGTAAACAGTAACAACTGAATTTCCAGCATTTGTCAGAAATGTGACTACATCGTCAAAAAAGCCAAAAACACTCGTTAAAGGTTGCGCAATGGAATCAGCGTGCAAGAAACCCTAGTACGCGATTTTTCAGATTTTGAAAAAATCTTTTGTTAAAGTCATGTATTTCACAATAACTCCACATGCTAGAAGTTCATACCGTAATCCTACAGTAGCGAACAGCGATCGGTGATCCGCTCCATGCTACAAATCTAAGTTCAACCTCGCTCTGCAGAATGTTGCCTCAAGCTCGGCGAAAGACTTGAAAGAAACGGAGCTATGAACAATCAAACAGTGTTCACATTTTATTGGGACACCCTGTATGTTGCTTTACTCACTAGTGAATGTTGATCTCAAAACTACAATTTTTATCAGCGAAACGCTCCTTTCCGAAGTTCATAATTTGCCATGGTAACACTTCAGTTCGATGTACAGAGGCACTGCAGTACGCTCTGTCATTGTAGAACGTGCAGCGGGGGTAGGGTCCATCATCGCGCAGAAGATCACATGTTCAAACTTCAAGCGCGCATCTTTGTTTCCGATGCCGTAGCCTTCTAAAGCACTTCGCAAAGTTTCAAATCAGCATTCATTCTCACAGCAACATATATCTCATCGCGAACGGGCACTTTTGAAAAAAACATTCCTCGTTAGTATTAGGTTGGTGCAAAAATAATGGCCGATTTTCCAAGCCTCTTCTCAGGGCTATCTTTATCCCTCAGAATATCTTCTTTGAAATACGTATGGCATACCACTGAGAAGCTGTTCTTATGCTCCTTCTAATGGTTGTCAACGCGGGCTTCTATCCTTATCTGTCAAAAAGTTACTGGGCTTCAATTAACTGCATCCTCAGAATTTCATTGGCTTTTAAGAGTATGTGCAGTGCGTTGTCTGGAGCGCCGCATATACTTCAGGGTGTCCAAAATTAGATACACACTTTGCAGTTGCTGTTACCTCTCTTCCTACAAAGTCTTTTCCTTAGCTTCCGTACTGTTCGTTAGAGTAGGTTCAAGCCAGATCGGTTAGATCTCTCTGTTACTGTAGGATTAGGTAGGAACTTTGAAGGTTTTAAGGCAACAGTGGCTATAGCTTGCCCCAGAATGAAAAGCTGAAACTTTATCATTTGGCTAAAATGAGTTGCTGATTATGAATCTAAAATTCGCACATTATCGTTAGCCTTTTTTTCTCACATAAGTTATGCCAGGTAAAGCGCAGCAATGCTAAAAAAAATATGGCGATTTGATCATTAAGAAGCTTAGCCCGCGAAAACTTGTCTGATCAGCATTCAAGCAGTGCACAAAGTTCTAGATTCTAAAATTTTTATTCAAACGGCTTATTTTGCAAAGGCGCGCATATTGTAAGTTCCTACCGTGAATTTGCAGTGATCGAGATCGATCGCTGATTTACATTACACTGTAAATCCGAATTTAGTTTTATAGATTGATACCTGATGCTAAACGAAAGACTTTTTGAAAGAGAGGTATTAACGATTTAAAATTGTATATTTTTGGACACCCAGTATGTCTTGTGCTCGGATAGAGCAGGTAAAGTGGGATAGAAATGATTAAAAGTCGGTGTCCATATCTGCCTTTGACCCATGTACAATAAAAAGCGTCCAAGGACAGCATAAAACTGAAAATCATTGAATTTCAACCTTAGAAACTTCAATTCTTTTAGTTGAAAACTTTTTGTAAAAGAATTGAACTCCAGTTTAAGAATGTGTTACATGGATACGACTCCACAAGATTAAAATATTAGTTTTATCGGCACTGCATATATACATTTGATGTGGCGAAGTGACTGATGTTTCATACTCGTATTATTTTGAACAAGATGTTATTCAAGACCGACAGAGATTAGGAGCAGTTGCTTGTGAGCAAATTTTATTCTTTGATTCCGGTTTCCACTACATCCGCCCAACCACGAGCTCGTTTTACAGCCTCTTTCCATTTTGCCAAATCAGCTACACGCTGTCTATCGTCCGACCATGATTTGTAGCATTTTGCCTGAAAAATGAGTTTGGCAATTCAAGTTTACGTGCTTAAGAGGGCACTTACAGTAGCCTCATGTGAAGAAAATTCCTCTAGGCTGTACTGCTGGGCTCCAATTCCTCCAGCTACCGCTGCACCCCAACCTGAGATTTCTCCAATCTTTGGTGTCTGAAATAAGATGCTTATCATTATGATCTTGGAATTGAAGAATTCATGTATTACTTTGATCTCTTTGCCCATAATCTCAGCTTGCAATTCATTGAATAGATGGTTTGCTATCATTCCTCCATCCGCCTTAACCAAACAAATCAACAAACATTTCAGGTTAGCCCAAAAATTCATTCGCACCACTTACTTCATGAATTCTTGTTTTTTCAAAGGATCTATGTGCTTTTGATGTTCAAAAGAGAAAAGCAAGTAACTTACAACAATGTTTGGAAGACTTTTTAGAACGCAAAGTTTGCTGAAAGAAGCTGTCAAAGAGGAATAATCAAATTTTGATTTTTATGAGTAGTGCTGCCAAAAAGCTGAAACTTACTTTAAAATTCGAAACACTTGTAATTACATGTTTTATGGTCTGCTCTTTCCATCTGAGCAAAAATTGTGTTGAGAGTTCGCAAATTTTAGATTTTAGACAACTCTACACAGAAAAATAAAATTTGAGTAATTCTCTTCTGAAGTTTCTATCTCTGCAATGTTTCTGTTTGATGCGTTACCCATACGCTATAATAAAGAGCATACTTTTTTAAATGTGATTGAAATTGTGCAAATTCTTTGAGAACGTAAGGATTTATGAATTTTTGAAATTTGTGCGAACGAACTTTTGGGCCAACTTACACTGTAATTGTAATTTAATTGCTATAAACTAACCCTGATAGTGGTAATTGTGACATTCTCCAAATCTTGTTCAACCGCTTCAATCATTTCAGCACTCTGATAAGCTACGGCTCGTAAAGCTGCCAAACAAATGTGTGCCTTAGTTGTAGCCTGTGTCAATCCAAGGATTGTTCCTCTAGCGCTAGGATCCCAATATGGAGTATAAAGCCCAGTAAAGCTGGGTACAAAAAAGACACCACCGGTGTTTTTGACTGTACGACAGATTCCCTCCATTTCCTTTGCATGCTGAAAGGAAAAAGCTGCGATGCTACAATTAAGAAGACTCGCTTACCTTAATGAATTGAAAATTATCCCGTAGAAATCGAACAACATTTCCACCAATTGATCCAGATCCTTCAAAGGCGTAAATTACGGGAGAGTCAGGTCCAAACTGAAATAGTTGTGGATTATTAGGCACAGACTCAGTCAAAGAATCTAGAACGTCAAAGTAAGTGTAACAACGGTTGAGTACAGTCCAGTAGATTTTTAGGTAAATATAATGCCTTTGCGGTGCGGAGATTGTTACAGTCGAGTAGATTTTCTGCTTAATATAGTGTGCTTGCACAGTTTATGAAATGCGGTAAAATTTGCGCGTGAACAGGTAGCTGCGCCAGCACTGCCGGCATTTTGCGCGCGCAATTGGCCGGCGTCACAGTCGAAGCTATTTCCTCACGAGCAAATTTTACCGCATTTCACCTTCTGTGCAAGCACACTATATTAAGCAGAAAATCTACTCGACTGTAGGTGAAATTTGCGTGTGAGCAAATAGCCACACCAGTAATGCCGGCATTTTGCGCACGCAAGTGACCAGCGGCACAGGCGCATTCATTTTTTATGCGGAAAATTTTACCGCAACTTTTCGTCACCGCAGGTACAGATTTGAGCGGAAAAGTCACTCGACTGTAACGTGTTCTACCTTTCAACTGGGCTCACCTGAAATCCTACTGTAGTCAATAGCCCACGTTTGCTGATGACTATATCGGGTCCTGCAAATATGTAAGCTCAGAAGAGCGAAGAACTATAATCACTTCTCAGGCGAAGCAAAAAGAGACGCTAAACGACAAACAGTCGCTGACCGATGTTGCATAACATAAAAGTGCCGGTTCCATAGGTGTTCTTAGTGTCTCCCCGTTGCAAACAATTGTGGCCAACCATAGCCGCCTGTTGGTCTCCCAAACATCCAGAGATTGGAACTCCTTTCAGTGGCCCTACACTTCATTTCTACGATATCTTGTGGAATGCTTGTATAAGGAACTCACCTCCTTTGAAGTGACCGTATATCTCAGCACTGGAACGAATTTGTGGCAGGATATGCGGTGGAATGCCAAAAAACTCGCAAAGCTGGCATGACCATTTCCGTTTTCGTAGATCTAAAGATGTGATCTGCAGACAAGGAATGTTGAAGGAGAAGAAAGTAAAAAAAACTGTTCTAATGTTTCGACAGTTCAAGAATCTTTTTGGGAGACCTTGTTCAGATAAAATATAAGTAGCCACTGGAGTTGCCGGGATATGAGCCTATATGTCGCCGATAGGCTCCACCCAGCGCGGTCAGTTGGTATATACAATTTGTGGTGAATTTGATATCTATGGATGCTTGGTCTGCAGATGTCCGTGGGACCACCCTTTCCGGCGACATATAGTGCTTTACCCGAACCGCTAGGATTTGTTACTGTCCTTCGAGGGACCGTGTTCCTTTGTGGTAACCCGCAGTTTAATTGGTCAGCATGTGCGAGTGAATCAAAGGCAGCGTTCGGATAAGGTAAAGGGTCTGGAGATTTCAGAATCAGGCGAAAGTGGGTCCTCTCGGAACCATCGCGCAATTGCGAGTTTATAACTTTTGGCCAGAAGCAAGAAATACGCTCGGAAAGTTGGAAAACTTCTGCCATGGGAACCTGCCTCTCCACCCGTGGATTTTCTGCTTTGAAGCAGAGCGCATGCCGCCACAGTTGAAGTCGTAGGGTCTTGCAGCGCAATGTGCGTTTCAGTTTTCGTTAAAACTAAAGGCTTTGGGAAGCGCAAGCTTTCGCCGTTTTTGCGTTTTCTAACGTGGCATTTCGGATTCAACGTTGTGGAGCCGCAGGTAAGTGAACTTATTTCGAGATTTTGCCCGAACACTGCAGCGACTAGTTTAGCGGAACTATAACTGTCGTGATACTTTGCCATCAAGCCTTTTCATGACCCAGTTTTCAAAATGAAATTCAGTGAGAGTAAGACTCCCACAAGTGTTCTGGGTTATCTAGAGACGTAAGCGAGCGCTGCGACGCTAATTTTGATAGATATAAGCGGGGGACTTAAGCGTTGTATGCGTGTCGAAAGTGTTCTCTGTGGTAAAAACCTATAGGGACAATTGCTAAATGGCGACCATATCGGGGAAAATCATAGCCGCTTTAGCTCCGACCTCTTTCTTCGTTATCCCTGTTCTTCCTGGCAATTACTCGCATGATTTTTTCCACACTCTTCTGTGGTTTTCCTGCGGCCATGTCCTGCACTTGTATAGGTCATTTTAACAGTTTCGACCGGTGCTGCACATGGTGCAGCACGCGCATTTGAAGGATCTTTTCAACGTTTTCAGGAGGTTTTCTTTTTGTCCAAGGTTATCAAGTCAAAGGACTAAGCTCCTCCTTTTCGAAAGGGTCTATAGAGCTGTGCCATCGATATTTGTTCAGAAGATATGAGGACAAATCGAACATCAGTTGCAACGAAGTGCGACAACGCGAACGACGCGTGCGACGTCGCAACTTTCCTTTGCTTCGATATCAAAGAGAAAAACCGTAGTTTCAATACTGATGTGTACCGTCTACAACATAGGTACTTTTGGATCCAATTAGAAACTGAGTTCTTGTTCCTATCTTTCAGGAAAGCACAGAAGTCCTTCTCAGACGACAAAATTCAAACACTTCGAATTCACTCACAACTCTGGGTATGGATCTTATCTGACATGCTGATTACATATGTAACACACAACCTACGAATTAAGGTCCCTTTGTTGGCTAACGGCTGAAAGTACATCCTTTTTCGCCGCGCGCGATTTCGCGCCGAAACGTGTTTAAAAGTGATGAATTTGACTGTGATCATTGCGCCCACAGGAGTATAAAACACTCATACAAAAAGACAACACCTCAACGCTCAGTGACTTCCGGTGTCTAAACACTATCATATGGAAGCAGAAAAAGTATGCAAGCGAGATTACAAGCAAGAAATTGCGGTTGCCAGAAGAGCGTGCGTGTCGCGTGCGGTCTCACCTCCTCATGATTTTTCGAATGCTCCATCCAGACACGTGCAACTTCCCACGCTGTTTCAAAATCAGAATTCAGAATGACATCTGCCGCCTTCGAGAAGGATCTTCCTCCGCACTTCGGCTACTGGACGAGGGGCATAGTTGCAAACATATTAGAAATCTCAATATGCTGCATTTGCTAGGGCACCGCAGGAAAGCACATCCTCTTTAGTCTTTTCGCAACCAGTGCAGTTATGAGAAAGCTGATAACTCACCTAGTAAAAGTGTTCTGGATGCATTTGAGACATCCGTGGCATGTTCCCCTGTCAATTTCCATATGAGCCAGGTATCAACGGTGCCAAACAATAGCTTATCTGTAATTTTTGGAACGATTTCGCAGCTCTATTTTCGCAAAAAAAATTGCTCACTTTCTTCGTTGGCTTTTTTGACAGCATCGACATTTTGTAACAACCATCTCAATTTCAACGCGCTAAAGTAAGGGTGAATCGGTAGACCGGTCTTCTGCTTGAACTCATCCTTCGATCTGAAATCTATCAGGTACAATTTTACTTTATTTATACAAAAAAATTGGCAACTTACCGGCTTGCCGTATTGGCAATGGCTTCCTCAGCAAGACTTGAGGTGCGATTATCTAGCCAAACGATGGCATTGTATAATGGTTCTCCTGTTTCGCTATTCCATACTATCGTGGTTTCTAAGTACATGAAGATGTGGCTCATTTACACTAAAGGAAATCTAATCCCTCATACCTCTTTGATTTGCAATGCCAACGGATTTTATTTCTTCAAGGGATATTCCTAATTGTTGCAGTTTATCGGCTACTTTTATAATGCATTCCTTTACAGTCGAAACTATTTCAATCGGATCTATCTCTACCCATCCAGGATGCGGAAAAAGTTGTTTGATTTCAATCTGTAAATTAGCATTAGCACTGGAATACATATTTGAACGAATGACAAATATGGATTCAAATGGAAAAGTAGAGATTTTACAAGATTTATAGGGCCAAAATGTCAACGGGCAGAATCTCTAACCAATTCCTCAATTGAGTTTTTGCATGCCTTATCATCGATATCTCTCCTGCGCCGAGTTTTTCGCCGACCTTTGTGTTTAGTCTAGAGCTGGCTTCAACTCAAATTCATTGTATGCAGCGAATCATTCAATTAATGTTGTTACGGTACTTTCAGCATAAATAAGTCCGTGCAAGATAGCTGCAAATTCAGAAAATTTTGAAGCACTACTTTTCTGATAAAGTTTCCGGCACGCTGATGCAGCAAATAACTCATAGATTTTTGAAACAGTTCAGATGGTCTGTCTGGATTTTGATGAATTTTGCAATACTGTTTTTCGGTCTACTTCGCGTGATTTTTGATCAAAGGTTTATGGCACGTGCTAAGTTCGTATTGATCAGCGGCAGTAACCTGTAACAAATATTCAGCCCCTTGCAGCCTTTTCTTGTAGCAGAATTGGTTTCCGATGAAGCGAATATCCTTCTTGAAGTTCCTACCGTAATCAAAGCGGGATCGGTGCGCTTCGTAATGTGAATCTATGTCAAGCCAGTTCTACAAGTCTTTAAGTGAAGCTCAGTAGGTGTAGCGCCGCTGAAAAATAACACCCTCACAATTCGCACAATGAGACAGATGCTATACCGGGTACAGGCCGACGCACGACCGTGTGGGTAGGGGACTATATGTCGCCGATAGGCTCCACTTCGCGCAGGCACCCCGCATCTGTATGCCTGTATAGTATGGGGCTGCTTGCTTGTCGCAGACCGTATGGGACAGCCCCTTTCAGCGACATACAGGGTGTCCCAAAAAGACGTGCACACTGTTTGATTGGTAATAACTCTCTTGCTTTCATGTCTTTTGCCGAGCTTGAGGAAGCATTCTTTAAAGCGAGGTTCAACTTAGATTTACAGTGTGGAGCAACTTATCAGCAGCTCTTCATTACTGTAGGATTACGGTAAGAATTTCGAGGAGAATTTTAGTCCATTGAAAGCGATATTTTGCCTCAGAAAATAAGCCAAACAAGCTAGAAACTCTTGAACTGGGTTAATCGAAGTTGCTGATTCTAAATATGAAAGTTTCATGGCAGCACACAGTTTTTTTCATGAGTTATTTCAGATTTAGGGTAACAACTGACTTTCCAATGTTCGCCAGAAATGTGTGATGGAAAGTTATGTAGTAAAATCAGCACGCCTGAAAACCTTGCTACATAAATTTTTAGGTTTTTTTCAAAATTATTTCATCAAAAGACTTATTCCACAGTGACGCTGTATGCTGAAAGTTCATACCGTGATCCTACAGTAACGAAAAGTGATTGGTGATTCACTTCATACTGCAAATCTAAGTTTGTCCTCGCTCTACAGAATGACACCTCAAGCTCGGCAAAAGGCATGCAAGCAAGAGAGTTACTAACGATCAAACAGTGTGCACATTTTTTGGGACACTCTGTATAGTCCTCTACCCTGACCGTGCTGCCTTTGGGGAGTTTCCCGAGTTTTTGAATCGCTTTGAGACAATCTATTAAAGTTGCTGCTGGGGCAGTGCGAAAAGGCGTCTCGACGTATCTACTACTACCAAACATTTTAGTTCTTAAGTTTGAAAATGAAATGCGCGTTTTGTTATAACCAGTAAAACGGCTCCCTTGTATGTTTGTTATATGGGAGAAGAAGCTAACATAAGTACGATAAATGATGATAACTCATAAAGCGCTAAGGCCGTCTGTCTGCCCGTTGTGTGTATGGTCTGTCAATTCACAGAATTGCAACAAACGTCTTGATCCACAATTTTGCACAACATACTGTGCCAGCATGTGGGTCCACCACGCTTGAGAACAGGCCGGTCCGATACGCGCATCCTTCAAAAGATGGGTGTCAAACGGGTCCACGCGGATTTTGGCCCGCAGAACCGGGGCGGAATTCAAACTGTTTGCAAGGTGGCGAATTCATTTGGAAAGAAAATCCGCAAGCCATTGATTTCAGCTTAAAAAGATAGCAAAATTCTATTTTTAGCAAAAACGGCGCCAAAAAAGAATGACGTGTAGATTGTCAATTTGTCAAGGTTTACTCAAGTAACTGGGAAAATTCTTGCTTAGAAATGTAGCTGGTGATTATTGTCCTTTTGGTAACTATCAGCCAAAATGAATTCAATAGCTGACTCAGATTCGTCTATTCCTCTGCAAAAAAGCTGCTCCTTTCAATATTACCGGTCCTACATAGTAAAGCTCAAAGAATCAGTCGTTGTTTACTTTTCGTTCATGTTAGTCAGTATTTTGCGGTAAGTTTCAAAGCGATCATGTTCAAGAATGAGGAGGGATAATAACAGAGCCGGTGCAACCCTGTGCGAAGGCAGAGGTGATGCGCTGGTAAATCATGAACATCTACCATTTGCGCGTTCCGTGCAGCTTTAATGCCTATACTTGGGTAGGGGAACGAAGGTTCCGGTTTGACCCGCCTTTCGCGGCTAACTGGTCCTTTTGCAATGTTGTTGCATGTTGTAGGACCAGTAGTCCGCGAGGCGGCCCAAACTGGCGGCCTTCGTTCCTCTACCCCTATTCGCGCTTACGGTAAAATCATTACGGGTCATGCATTCGGCAGACGTTCGATCTCCAAATCCGTCCCATTTGACAATCTGTCATGTGTTCCCGAATGAAGAGCGCGAAATTTGAAAATTACAGTACAACATTTAAAAGTTGTTGCAGATTTTTGCTCAATCAGAAATCGCTTGCACCTAATAGGATTACAACACTGCCAAATCTGTGAGAGCTAGAGTCCTGGATGTTCGAGGTTCCCATAAGACACGTTTGGAGCAGATATAATATTAGCGAGGATGCCAACGATCTACATCATGCGGTTAATTAGGCGCATTTTTGACGAAAAGTTGCATGTCTTTTTGCAAAAAAACAGACTCTGCATTGCACAACTAGAAAAAACCAGACCAACCTGATGACTCGTCACCAACTCTCCAGTCTCCCCTTTGAATACTAGAAAACGGCTGCTAGAGGTCCCCTGGTCAATAGATGCCAGCAAGACCATTTCCTTCTGGGCACTTGTGATTCTCTGAAGGTGTAACGAAGTAAGTTCAACTAGTGATCATGAATGAGAAATAGTGCAGTGAAGCAGCCACCTTTTGAGTGATCTGACGAACAAATGAGAAGTACGACTGGGTGAATGGTTTGAATCTTTTAATGATAGAGTTCATAAGTGAGAAATATGATGTTATCAGATGAGATTGGAAAATTATCCGAGGAGTTTATGGACAAACTTCAACAGAGAAAGTAGGCATCGATCTTTACACTTTAAAAAAATCTTGCTACTTACCGTGCTCGTGGAATTCGGCCAAAACCAGTCTTTATCAATCTCTGCTCATCAAGAACAATGTTCACACATGCCGCGTTAGGATAATTAGCTCAGAAAGTGTTCAGATAAGGTAACCTTATACTATCATATCGTTCAATGTAGCATCATAATAGTTTGATAAAGGTTACATATGAGTTTAATGCCTAAAAGCGTAGGTTTCTGAAGTTTTTTTTCTATTCTGCAAAAAGCATATCGCAAACTTTGCTGTGAATGAATTTGATGAATGAATTGCCATATATTCTTGCAAGAACTCTCGTTAAGTGAGCAAAGAACACGATTATCTCCAAAAAATAAGGCCGACCTGCTGTGACCTACACCCAAGACTATGAATGAGCTAACTGGTGTGAATGTCTCTTTCAAAAATTCACATTTTTTGCCTTGCATTCGGAAAATCGCCATGATTCATCCTTCTGAAATAACTCTAAATACGCATAAAAAGGCTAGATTTTGATTTTTTATATCCAAAAATTTGCAGGTTGAACAGTTCCGCTGAAAAAATTTGCAGGTTCGACTGCAAAAATTTTTGGTGCTCTCTCGTTATCGGGACTCATTTTTCAAGAAAGGATATTGTTTCTTTTCTTGTACTAAATTTGGTCATAACTCAGAAGAAGGAGTGCTAATCTCCTGCCACGCGTCAAAAAAAATTGACATGTCATCTACTTGTTCAACAGGCTTCAACAAGAGGTTTACTACCGGCCATTGTAAGCTCAGGCTGTTTTTTATTCAATATAACCCCACTTTTGTAAAAGTTCCAAAAATGAACATTAATATTATAAGGATGACATCCTGTTCAATACATTAGATTTGCACAAAAGAGAAAAGTGGGCTATTTTCCGTTATCTAAGCGGGAATAAAGGGCCAGGCATACTTCACGCGATTTCAGTCGCACGCGATTTGGCAATTTGCCAGAAGTCTTCAGATCCATCACTGGCACACTGCACATGCATAGTGTATATAACCTACGCGAATCGATAAGATGCCCTATCTTCTGCACATTTAAAATGTGTTTACAGTGAGTTATGGACAGTTGGAATATTGCCAAATCGCGTCGCGAATGAAATCGCGTGAAGTATGCCCGGCCCAGCGACAGCCAGCTGCTTCAAGCCATCATTTATATCCTTCCTTTGTTGAATCATTTGCAAAAGAGAATATGTTTTTTGAATCATTGCTGAAATCGAACAGGAGTTAATAGACATTTTAGATTGTTTTGCTTTTATAAAATCCTTCAAACAGTATTTGACTCATTTCAAATGCTCTCGTACCTTAACGAAAATGTTTTCAAAACTAATGTGTCGAACTAGGCCAAATGTGTTGATTTTCATTCTGTCACGTGGCAGGAGACAGTCGTCTTATGGTAAAAAAAATCCTAGGCTGAAGACCTTATTCCATGAGAATCATCTGAAAGATGGGTCCATTATAACGGAACAGTACCTTTTTTTAATTTAAAAAAACAGCAAATAAACGAACAAACCGTAGGATCATTTGCAAACTGTCTAAAATCATGAAAAGTCATACGCACCATAAGTAAAAGAAAAACAAGAGAAAGTTTCCAAAGCGATAATTCATCTGCCGTGTGGCATGCATAAAATGTTCGTTGAATGCAATTCATCAAAGTGACGTCTTTGATTTTCCGTCATCTTTCACACCAGTGCGCTCATTCTACAAGCAGAACTTTCGATCGCTTCGTTCTATGAACTCTGAAACAATTTTTGAGATTGGAATGCGGATCCACCTGATTTATACTACATTCCAAAGTGTGCTCATTGGATAGAAGAACTTTTATCGAGGCAAGAAGAATCAGCAGCTTTCTCGACTTTGGTGGAACTGTTTTACGAATATTGTAAACACAATGTCTAAATCCGTATCAGGCAGCCATCTTGGTATTGCTTTAGGATTACAGGATATTTGCTTTTTCCAAAAAAGGCCAAGCTCATGTATTGCTAATAAAATCAAACAGATTTTCATACTGTCATAAGAAAATGGTTTTTTTTTCTAGTAAACCTTGCAAGTTTTTTTTCAAAGAGTTTTCAAAGTTTTTTTTCAAGTTTTTTTTTTCAGCATCAAAGAGTACTTTCTAATCCAATGGTTTTACAAAATTAAGACGGAAGCGGACGTTAAACTAGAAATCTTTATATACGCAGCTGCTGAATGCCACTTTACAACCAGATATAAGCACGTGCTTTCTTCATCATTTTGGCAGCGAGAGCGAACCGGAGCACAAAGAAAGCGGAAAATACTTCCAGGATGATTTTTAACAAAAGCACAGACTTAAAACAGTATCATAAAACGTTAAATTTCAATGTAAAGTTAAAGTTTGATTGAATAACGTAGTTCAGATGTTGTTGACTTTACGATCACTATGTCCATAAAGGTCACAAATGAAGTAATACATTGCATCTGCTGCGGTGGCAACATTTTTTACGTAAAAATCGTGTGTAAAAATCTGTGATGTTCTTCTGAAAATGACAAACGCAAGCATCACTGTCATAATTCTGCTGTCATTCTTCTTGAAAATCTTTTCCAACACTTACATCAGTTCAGTGATTTGCTTTGATTACGCATCTATGGCAAAACGGAGCAGAGGGGAATACAAAAATTGATGAAAGCATTTGGATGTGAATGTAATACCTATAAGCACCGTAATTTTTATCAATTTGTTTTGCTCAGTGGAAAGAACTCCCAAATTCCATACAGATTGCTACAACCTTTTAGAAGAATTTTTTGGCAAATTTTCGGTAGCATTTACATACAGCGAATGTTGCGTCTTTGCCAAAATTTTGCTTGCCGCGTGTATTTGGATAGTTAGTGCACAAAGATAATTCGAGATAGTATTGTCTTAAATGTCTGTGGGATAATCTTTTAAAGTCTTCCAGTGAAATAGCAAAAGATATTCAGAATATGTTTAAAAAATAGAAATAAATAATTAAAAATCAAGCATATCAAGAAGCATGGAGTTCGTTCATGGTAGCCAATTGGAATACATGGAAACAAGTCATTTCTTGCAGTTAAGAGAGAGTTAAGTACAGATTGCTTGGAACCATTCAGTAATGGGAAATTCTTAATTATAATTGTAACTTTTGTAAAAAAAAAGACGATGAGCAAATCTGTGGCAGCATATTTATGTTCTCGAAGGTTGCACTATCTAGATTTGCGTTCGTAGATGTCATGTAAGGACAAAGATCTCTTAGAAATTACAACGATGAGCTAGCATAAATCGCTCGTGCGTCAGGTGGCACAAATGACCCGGAATTCAACCCAATACATAAATCTCAAACCAAATAAAGCTCATATTTATGAGTTACGGTAGAATTTTGGAGATCAATGCAATATGCGAGTGAATTTATAATCTAGAGGCTGTCGATATGCTTGATGGATAAGACGGGTGCGAAATGCTGTTTGCTGTGTACTACGGCGACAAACACCACTGCGACGGAAATAAAATATGTTTCTCGATCAAGATGTCCAGTAGCTTTTTCATCGGCCATTCCTCTCCCGTTTATGCCATCGAAAGAATCATAAAATTCAGCGCATTTCAGCTTCGAACTATCAACTTATGCTCTGTCTTGAGACTTCAAGGAGTAACCTTAGACTCGTTTTGCTCCAATACCTCGGTAGAGGTAAATTATCTCAAGAATTACATTGGTGAAAGTACTTAGCATCACATTAATCATAGAAGAGTTTCGCAATCCAGCTGCGCACTTACAAAGGCAAGCATACTCAGATCACGCAGATGTTTGATTTTGGGCACAAGTTGGGCCAAACAGTATGCAACATTTGTTGTTTATGGAGCAGTAACAACGATTTGTAAAGGCTTACTTTTTTCCTTGCAAAAAAGGATACCAGACCGTAGTAGCGAACCGAAATGATATAGATATCATTCAATGCGTCTTATTGAGTTGATATCAAATCTATCTTTCCTGTCTACTACGAGGTTCTCTAGAAGAAGCTATGGGCGTTTGAATGTCCAAATTTGGCAGACATTCAGTGCCACATCTTCAGGAACTATTCGTTCAAAGAAGACGCTTACTCATGTGTTCGGTGTTGGTATGCATTTCTTGTAAGTGTACTCAAAACCTTGCAAACTGATTACTCCGAAGCAGTTTTTAAAGCGCATTACGCATCAAAATTCCAACAATCTCACATCTTTAAACGCTCATAGATTCTTCTAAAGAAGCTCGTAGCAGATAGGATAGATTTGGAATCAGCTCATTAAGACGCATCTAATGATATATCATTTTGGTTCGCCACTGCGACCTGGTATCCTTCTCTTGTTAGGACCTCAGCATTAGCATTATTCTCGTTTCTCTAATTTTCAAAAAAATGGGCATTCAGCAGTAGAAAGGATAAATAAAAACTTATTTTCAGGCCTTTCATGCTACTGATACAAGTTGTCAAACTTCAGAGTTCAAGCATTTGACAATTGCAAGAAAAAATGGAAAGCTGCTTTTGATATTCTTTTCGTATTGTCGTAATTGCACAGATATGTCGAAACTCAATGGTGTTTACGATCTAACTTTACTTGGAATTCTTGACAAAACAGTTAGTTTTGCGAAAAAATATCTAATGATTGTAGATACTTCCTGTGAAAAGCCTGGGCGAGCCTTTGGAAGACTGCATCTTTTTTTGCATCAAGTCTATTGATACAAATCTGGTACAGTTCAGGTGCCTGATACACTGGAGGTTAACCACAAGTAAAGTTCTCAAACCATTTCCACTCAAAAATCAACTGCAATCCCATTTCTTTCTAAGTGTTGATAAATAACCGTTTGTCTCCTCTATTATGCTCACACCGATAAAGTGTTCAGGCTGATTTTTATCCGACAGTTCAGCCATAGAAATTTCGCAGTTTTACTTTACAAACTCCACAACTTTATGTGCATTTTCGAAACATTTTTACACAAGACCTGTATACAGTTGAAATCATGCCAGAAATTCTGGTAGAATGCTATAAACTTCTATGGAGTACAACGCGCAGTGATTGTGAGTAAATTGAAAATTGTACAGTTTCTAGAAAATCGGATTTTCGAAAACAAACGTATGCTAAGTATGTAAAAGTGCTTATCTCAAAATAACACTAGGTTTTGGGGCCGTTTCGAAAAATTGGTCCATGGCTTGTTTCCTACGCTAATTCCTATTTTAATAGACTATCATTCGACATCAGCAGAGTTCCTCTTACTAATACGTTACCATTCGCTTTGTGTTTACGCGCATGACCTCAATTTGTCATATAGATCCGGAACCTACAAGCATAACGGTATCCAAATCGCATGCGTTTGCTGCTGATTATCGTCTTTATTGTTGGCCTAAAATCGAAATACTTAAGTGTTTATTCCTGCATTGCCACAACATCACCGGAAGAGCGAGGTATTTTTTCACATTTTTATTACCGATAAAGTATAATGTGGCCTTCTGGCTACAACTACGAGAAATCGATTTGTTTATCTTTTTTCGGGAGATGATCACATTATGTGTAGTAGTGATAGTAAGCACTTCTATACATAATTATTCTCTATTGAAGCCGATTTCTTTTGTATTTCCATACTCTAAAACCCACAATTATCGTTGATAAAGTTCAAAATCCACATTTTTATAATCTGTTGAGAGAAATGTGCACACGAGTTTTACTTGCTACAACAAAAGATCCTAGAAACTCCATTTTGTCTCAAGCCAGAATATAATGTAATTGTGTCAAATGAATGTTCCTCTTCGTCAACTATTCCTCAAGTATCATCCTCTTGTTCTGATTGTGAGATGTTTGTCAAATGCCGTTATCATTACTCAGCCTATTTTATTCTATATTTAACGCAGCCTGAGTTCTCTTTTCTCGTATATTTAATTCTTAGTTGTTCTCTGAATTCAGCGTGGTCTTCAAAACTCGAAAATAGAGTTTTTCTAAATTTATTAGATCGGTCTAAAGTTTTGCCAGTTTTTTTGAATCCACTGGCAAATACGGTAGAATAAAGATAAACAAACACTCCAATTCAGAGCTTCCTCTTCCAAGCTATGTTCTCAGCGTGATGCATTGTGAGGGTGCTGAGATCGCTGATATCTACAATTCATCGCTTTCACCATGTGCAATATTTGGCAGTTTTCAATTTTTCCCAATACTTCCGAGAGAGCTTTGATAGCCAGCAGATATTGTAAACCTGTTGCTAATTGAAACAATTTTTCTTCTTTTTCAGCTACTCTCTTAGAATTTTGCTAAAGAATTCTCCAGAAGCCTTAAGTTGTCGCGAAATCACATCAGCTGTTATCGCGAAACACTGCACTACATTGAAAGTTCAGCTCTCGATTATTACTATCAGTAACCTTACAAAGTAGATGAGCGATTTTCGCTTCAAAATGCGACATTTTGGAAACATAGGATAGGTCAGTGCGCGGTCGTAAAATTAAAAAAATAATGCAATCTCCCTTCACGTGTTTGAAAAGAAAATACAGCTAAACCGTATACCATTTCATGTGATACGAGGTTCACTTTGATGACTTCAAAAAGTTTGGATTTGTGGAAGACAAGGCGCAGCGCTAAGAATTTGCTTCAGTTGGCGTAAGGGGTTTACCCTATCTGCTGGCTATCAAAGCCCCCCAAAAGTTTCGGATTGAATGAGGCTTATAAGAGAAAGAAATCCTGCATTGGATACAGCTTGAAATGTTTGTTTATCTTTACTCTACTGTATTTGCCGGTGGATTCAAAAGCCGACGACACGTTTGAGTCGACCTCATATTAAAAATTCCAAACTTGGCGATCGATTCTGATTTGAAGCTGTGGATATTCAGCAAGGTGTGAGACTTCTGCCATTGCAGCATATGACAGCTCGCTTAAGGATTATTAATCCAGCTGCAGCAAACCATTTTATAATTAAGCTCTTAGACTTCTTCAGGATCAATAGTCAACAAGCACTTTATAATCTTCAATCATAGTCATCGAACGATGTGATCTTACCCCTTTCCGACAAGCGGATAGCAACACTAAAAGATGGTTTCTCTTCTGGCACATTAAAACTTCACGATCTCCCTTTTGAGCGAGTGCTGCACAGCAATGATCAATTGCACCGTGCCCTTCCTCATGGAATCCGAATTTTGTATACAGTTTCGCGTCACAGGAAACAGAAGAGGAGAGATTTTGAAGCAATTTTATATTGGAGAAAAGGGTTAGAAGGATTCAGGTAGACAATGCGAAGGTCAAGATATAGTAGTGTAATAACTACGTGTGATCATATATGTAATATAACACATATATTGGAAATTTTGGCAATCCTAGTTAGGTGGCATTAGGATGGAAATAGCCACCCTAATCTGAAACAAGAGTCAGGCTCTTAATTCACTCAAACTTTCGACTTTGTGCTTTGTTGTTGCTTACCATCGAGTGCGAACACACCACGTTTGGTGCCATAACACCTTCAAACGATTCATTTCTTCACCCGTCATCATGAGGATATAATCAAGAAAAAATGCTTGTGGAGCTGTTCAAAACGAATTTCTACTTTTTTATTTGCTCCTATACCCATGAGCGGGTGTACCAACTAATATGGACTCATACTGCCTGGAAGAGAGACTTTGTCTACTGTTTTGAATAATCAACTATGAGTTCTGCGCTTTGAGCAAGGTCGTGTTTGAGCAGCACCTTCATGTAATACGAAAAGTTGTTGAGAGCAGGGACCTCTTTGAGTAAGGAAGTTTTATGACATTTATTGAGAAATTATTGAAATTGAGAAATATTACTGAGAAAATTATTGGGAAAACTATTCTCAACATTTCCACGGTGATATCGTTTCACTACACAAATTTTAGTGGCAGTTGCGACGCCACGAACTGTACAAACTGTACCCAGGACCTTGTTGAGAGCACGGGCACCGCCGGCGGCACCTGTGGTAGCACCCGTACGTGTAGCACCCGCAGGGCCCTACACACCTGCAGCACCCGTAACACCTGCGACAACTGAAGAACCCGCGGTGCCCTCCACAACCGCAGAATCCAACTTGCCTGTGGAAATTATAGTGTCTATACCCGGCCCTGCACAAACACAGCCCGTCGTACCTTCACCCGGAGCACCCACTGTGCTTCGCTATGCACGTGCACTACCTGCCGTGCCTGCCGTGGCTATAGTGCCGGTAGTAACCGCCACGACCGCAGTCGACTTCACCACAACAACCACGTTCTCCACGGGTGAGTACGACTCCACGTCTATTTTTTTTACGAATTTGTCTAACAGTGAGAGATAAACAAAAGAAGCGCTTTGTTAGTAAACAAGAAGTTGGTATAACCTAAGCTTGAGTGTTTTATCTCTCCAAGAGTGAGATAATGTTGAGAGTGAACAGCAGCGCATTAAGTTCTAAACGCAAGAACACAAAACATCCTTAGTGCTCAAAACCCGTTGCAAATTTTGAAGATTCTCGTTCTCCTCTAGTGTCAAAACGCCTAATACAGTTGCTTCTATCTTTTTCCTACCCCGCCTGATGTACGCTGTAATTATGCAACAACATACTTCTTCTTTCTACTTCTGATCATTCACATCTATACGTATCGTGCTAAGTTTGGCCATTCAGATTGCACGACTGCTTGTCCATCCGTCTATAGCAATGAATGTGACGGCTATGGCGTTGTATGTGCGGACGCAACAGAAGCTCTAGCTGCAGTGATCAGCACAGGGACGGAATGCCAGTATGTTAAAGTTCTATGATTGGGCTGAAACAACTCATTAGAATGAAAAGCTAAGCTACGCGCTCATATATTAGGTTATGTTGGTCCAAAAGTTTGTTCGCATCAATTCTTCGGAAAAGTATTACTTTCTGCTAGCACGGATTGGAATAAATTTCATTGGAATGAAGAGATTATGTAGTTTTCAACTGTAAGTCCTGCTAAGCACAAGTCGCACACTCAAAAATGCAAGATAAAGGTCACTCAAATTTCGGTAGTTTTTGGTAATTAAAAAAAAACATTACGAACTAACAAAACAACATAAACATACTCTCATATCTCCCCTATCGCTAAGCAAAATTCTGGTGAACGCGAGTTGTGATTCTCGAAGAAAATGCTCTGCTTCTTTCACGGAAGTCAACTTGCTGTCGTTTAGCACGAATTTTGCGCAGATAAAAAGAGGAGATTATGAAGTTTATGTTTGCAACGTATCGCTTTTCGTTGTGACGTTTTTAGCTTTTTTAGCTTGCTCAAAAATTGTCACATGAGCTGATTTACCACTAGCTCTCGCCTCTTCTCGTTTTTAACCATGGCAAAGGTACCATTGAAAATCGACCTTCCGCTTTTGTACAGAAATACTCAAAATTTTGGGTGACCTTGCTTGAAAATTGAATTTTGTATACGCTCGCATTTGCTCACACAAATTCACGAAGGTAGTAAACAACTACCTTCGTGAATTTGTGTGAATAAATGAACAAGCAACAACTGATTTCTACTTCCAAACAAAAATAACTTCATGGAAGTTCATCAAGATGCAAGGAAGCCAAGATTTTTTTGAATAGATGCAAACAAACTTTCGAACCAACCCAGTAGATGGTAAGCGCTGCTGAGTTCCTTAAGAATGGCTTCACATCGAGTACTTCTGTGTTATACGACTTTGTCGGGTGGCATCCCGGTTGCGGTTATTGCTCACCAGGACGCATACCATGTTGCAATGGCGAGCAAAAATGATAGCTTACCGTTGGATGCGTCTTGACTAGCTAATTCCAAATTTAACTTCTTTATTTGCTAAGGTCTTTTAGAGGGGGGCGCTCGTTACGTGCGGGTTGCCCAGTGGAAAACGTCGCAACGCGGCAGCGCGCGGGGGAAAGTAGTGCAGCAAACTTGTCAAATCTATACACCTAGATCATCAATGCTTCTTCTATACTGTTAGAATTTTACATGCAACAGTCTGTGTCTTTTTTGTCTCTAAAGTGTTAATTTTACAAGTTTTGTGGGGAAACTTCAAATAAGCAAGCAAAACTAATATGGGAATAGTCTGTAAACCTCAACAAAGGATGAGGAATTGAGAAACTGTGTGCTGAGCATCATGTTAGCCAAATTTCTTGAGTGCGGTCACTGGAAGCCTGTCGCGCGCGACGTTTTCCAATGGGCAGCTCGCACGTAACGATACGCACCCTCTTTTAGAAGAAGCTATGAGCGTCTGGATGTCTTTGACGAACATTCACTGCAACATCTTTAACAACTAATTGCTCAATGACACTTATTCATGTGTTCGATATATGTATGCATTCCTTGTAGTTAACACACTCGAAACCATGACAATTAATCACTAAGTTGGTTGTTAAAGCAAGTACGCATCGAAACTCCATCAACTTCACATTTTTAACCGCCCAAAGCTTTTTCTGGGAAAGCGCTTGGTGGATAAGAAAGGGAGATTTGGAATCAGCTCACCAAGATGCATCTGGTGATATGCACGTCATTTCGATTCGCACTGCGACCAGGTACCCTCTCGTTGTCAGATGCACGTAAAAAATTTTTTCCTTTTTCCTCCAATTACTTTTCTGTCATCGGATGGAAGCTGTATTCAAGCGATTCTGTGAAGTGTGAGGAAGATTGCTTGTCTTGGTGATTCAAAATTTGCGAAGTTGCTGGTGCCGGTCTGCCCTCTCGGTCTCATGACAATGTCGTGGGCTCCTGCGGCTGGCGTGCCACGCAGCTGCCTCGTTCAAATATTGCGCCACCACTGCAAATGTCAACCTCGGGAATGCCAGCCACGGCTGAAAAAGTATGAAAATTTCGTATATCATGTACATATTTATGAGTGTGAGTAGATGACAAGAGTAAGTGCATTTGATGAGAAAGCCTCTGATATCGTTTGTAACGGCAACCTCTAGCTTAAAGGCAGTGTCTCACCAAAGTTGAGGTCGCGCGGATTTTCACATATCCTATTATAGGGACCTCCAAATAAGCCACTGCAACAAGTCCCACTCAATTTGACCCCCTCCCCGCTGAGAAAAATTCGTTCAAAGTGGTACGCGGAGAGCGAGTTGGTACGCGCTGACGACTCCTTCGGTCTCCCCCCTTACGCGTTTAAACATGTCCCTCCACTTGGCATCCACCTCCCCTGTGTTGCTGCCACTGTGGCTGAAGCTGAAGTTGGAAGGTACAACTCGTCCACGTGCTTCCGTGGAACCTCCAGAAAACGGGGTTTTTGGGAACTTCGTGCGATTTTAGGCCCATACAGTGCTAGACAGGGTCCGACATTCTTGCAAAATGCAAAAAACTCGGCAACTAAATTTTGGTGGGACACTGCCTTTAAGGTGCGTCCAAAGTTACTCCTGTGCCCTTTCCGTAATTGGCCAAGACCGGCACGATACTAAAGCGCACGTCGCGTAAGGTAGCATCCATTTTGTTCCAGTCGTTGCATGCTACGTCACGACGTCAGTGCGCGGCACGAGGTGGTCAAATGCCAACCTAAAGATCGTTTTGGATGGAATCCTAAGCGGTATCCTAAATATACTTTTATATGCACATACACTCTCTCAACAAGTTGCCACACGACTGACATGCAAAAACACGATCTTGCTCTTGCGTCAACTTCAGAAATTCTAATTTTTTAAATGAGTTGCAAATGCCTCGGTTACAGCGCACACACAACGATATGATTAAGAATTTGGAGTATAAACGGACTTGGACTAGAAGGAGCATAGTGCAGAGTTTGGAAAAATTATGTGACCGATGGTTGGTGCAAGTTTTTTTTTTCTGAAAATTGCCCGCTACCACTAAGTGATAAAATGGCTCGCTTGCAAAGCACAAATGACGATATGGCACGAAATTTGGTGTGTGTACGCGAATATGGACTAAGAAATAAAGTATGAAAAAGTATGAAAAACTTGTGTGAATAAAGAGCGTGATTAACTTCTTTTCAGATAAAGTGAGCAATTGCACTCATGCGTACCTGAAGAGTAGCCAAAACTTTCATTTCACATAAGTTTCCAAAATAATTACTGAATATTTTTACATCTAAGGTATATAGTGATATTTTGGTCCAAAACTCCCCCTTTTTGTTGAAATTCGGAGTGGCAAAGATGCCGGTTTTTGAGGAAGAGAGCGCGCTCTAATCGCAACCTACACAGCTGGGGAAGTCAAATGGGAAATCGAAAAATCGATAGTGGCAAAGGCGAATTTTTCCTATCAGTGTCCGTTTGCCACCCTCGTGCTGGACCCTGTACGACGTCCATGCCGATCCTGTGGCGGGGGCGAAATGAGCACACGAGTACACTCTGGACGCAGCCTAACAAAAAGCTAGTCATACCATTTAGGCAAACATGGGTATGTCCTCCTGGCACTTCGGCGTATTATTATACGTCTTTCAGTTCTCAAGCCACATTTTATCCCGGTCAGTTCTGAAACTTATAGTTTTAGGTATTGCAAGCATGTCAAATTGTATGTATTTTCAGCTGATTATGCCCTTTGCTCCCTTATGAGAGGAGGTTATTGGACCTTTCCCGATGGATATACGATAGTCGCTGCGCTGTCATGTCAAGACAGAGGGTCGCAAATACCCGCCTCTAATTAAGATCAATCGAATTAGCATTGTTTAGAGTGAGCCACAGTAACTACTGTTAAAAGATTTGCATTACTAGCATTAGACCTTCTATCTATAAACACATCCATACAGCAGTGGCGTACTGAGGGGGCAGGGAGTTTTCCTCCGCAATTTAGGTCGCGAAATTTCTGAAAGTTACTTGCGTGAGTTAATTGTGCTAATGACTCCTTGATGCTTATAGATTATAATAATTTTTAGAAATTTTCGGAATTTCATTTTTGAGAATTTTTCGAGATTTCGTAAAGCTTTTTGAAGATTTTTTCGTGGCATGGTTGCCGCCACGTCACGCTCCTTTTCTATTTTGGGTATAGGGAGCGAAATTAGAAATCATTCCAAAGAATTTTTCTGAGTGCGTGGCGTTTGGCTCCGAACGCAACTCCTGGGCCCATCACTGCCATACAGGTGAGTTAAAACGTCATCTTGGCCTTTGTTTCATACCTGCGCGAGGGTGTCAAGTCAGGCTGGAAGTTGTTTAAGCAAAAGAACTACGTATCAGTTTGATTACATTTTAAAAAATTAATTTGGAAGAAAATCTATAAGTCAAATGAAAATAGAATTTCATATCTATTCATAGGAGCACTAGATCGCTACCAGCATATATTGACCAAAAAGGGTCAAGACCTTATAATAACGGGCTAAGGGTTGTTTACGTGTTTGTGTGTGTGTGTGTGTGTGTGTGTGTGTGTGTGTGTGTGTGTGTGTGTGTGTGTGTGTGTGTGTGTGTGTGTGTGTGTGTGTGTGTGTGTGTGTGTGTGTGTGTGTGTGTGTGTGTGTGTGTGTGTGTGTGTGTGTGTGTGTGTGTGTGTGTGTGTGTGTGTGTGTGTGTGTGTGTGTGTGTGTGTGTGTGTGTGTGTGTGTGTGTGTGTGTGTGTGTGTGTGTGTGTGTGTGTGTGTGTGTGTGTGTGTGTGTGTGTGTGTGTGTGTGTGTGTGTGTGTGTGTGTGTGTGTGTGTGTGTGTGTGTGTGTGTGTGTGTGTGTGTGTGTGTGTGTGTGTGTGTGTGTGTGTGTGTGTGTGTGTCCGTCTGTTACGAAATTCGTAGAGCGTGTTCCAGCCAGCGTTTTAAGCCCAAATTTTGCACAGCGCATGCTACCTTCATGAAAGTTCAACGTGCAAAAGCACGAATAGATTCGTTGAATGGGTCCCTCAGAAATTGCGCGCCAAACGGATCCACCTGGCTTCTGTCCCGCAAAATTGGGTCCATATCACCACTTTTTGCAAAGTCCTGGATGTGTTTGATAAGCAAATGTGCAAGCGATGGACTTTAGCCCAAAAAGTGGTCAAAAGTTTGCTACATAACGAAAACGGCGCCAGAAAGAGTTGGTTGCGTAAATGGTTAATTTGCTAAGGTTCTAGCTAAGCGTTTCAAAAGATTTTCGCACGGAGATGTAGCTCACGGTTACTATTGCCTTTAAGGGGACTACCAAGCCATGACAACTTCAAAAACCTATTCAAATTTGCGTTTGTCTTCCTACGAAAAGTTTCATCCACGCGAAATCACCGATCTCACGTGAAAAAACTTTCTGAATGAGTAGCTGTTTACATTTAATTCGTGGTAGTCGGCATAGTGCGGTAAGTTCCATTGCCACGATTTTACGAGAATGAGTAAGGCACATAGATAGTAGAGCCAGTGCGAGCCTCTGCGAAGCAGAGGTGACGCACTGGTATATAATAAAGCCAAGACCAAAAATGATTAGGCCCAGTAGACTAGCATTTTAGCTACCAAAATTCAAATATCTGCTTTTCACTTCTTGCAGCTTGTATCTTTGCCATATCTCAAGAAAAATGTTGATCCATTGGCGGGATAAATGCGCAAGATTTCCTCTTTCTGTCAAATATCATATCGGAAAATCACATTGAAATGGGGAAAGCAACAGACTTTCAAAGACTTTGGTGCAAGAATCATACATTAACCAAAGATTAGGCGGGTCCGAAAGTTCGTGCCGTTTTCCAGACTTTTGCCGATTACCACAAACTGCATACCACTGGTGTGAGCTTGGAGCGCTAATTCCAAACCTGCTTTTCTTGCTTGCAAAGCTCCTTCAGAAAGGAATTTATACACGTTTTTGAAGCGAAAAAATGAATAATGCTTGGGATGTAATCAATAGCTATGACCTCTCTCCATCTCAAGGCTCCCGCTAGAGTGCCGAAGTTATGCCAGCGCTACGCCAGCATTTCGATCGATACACGTGTATTTCGTTGGGGCGGGGCTAGCTGACGTCCCTAACGAAATACACGTGTGTCGATCGAAATGCGGGCGTAGCGCTGGCATCTTCGGCACTCTGGCGGGAGCCAAATGAAGGAACGGCAGATTTCGAAATACTTCATTATGTACTCTCTTGCCTACAATATCACTACTTCTTATTTCTCCAAATGACCTGAAAGGCACCGTCCACCAAAATCCCGAATTCAATGTTTTTGTCGCCTTCAGGCCTTCTGGAAGCCCTGATTCCGAATATGGAATCGAACATCCGCGAAATCCCCAAAAGTCCCTGTTTCGAGAACCCTCTGCAGCAAGCGCAGGCGAGATAAGGGTGCCTTCATACCGCGCCAACAGCCGCCGCTAGCCGCTTTGGCTGGGTTCATACTGATTCCCATGTTCTGGAACTGTTCCCGCACAGTTCTCGCACTGTGCTGGAACTGTGCGGGAACAGTTCCAGAACTGTGTTGCATGCGCTGCAGCCGCCCCGCACCGTTTTGAACGGAGGAAGTTGGAGGATTTTGACCGTTCTCAACGGTTTTTCTTTCAGATTTCTCTCATTTTGGCCTTATTCCTCCACCCCGCTTTCCTTGATCAGCAGAACTTCGAACTCGAAGCGGGGTAGAAGAATGAGCGCATTTCTGCTCTGCGTATGCGACAAAAATTTTGTTCTTGTGCTCGTCCATTTTTCTTCGTGATTTTTGCTCAAAACTACTTCATTTGCTCCAGAAAGCGGCTGCTAGTTTCCATAGCCATCTGCCACGAATTAGGGAGTAGGAGCAATTTTGAAATTGCATGCATTGGGACTTGTCTTTTGCTTTTGATGACTCTGGGCGTTCTCAGCCCCTTTCGTTTTTCCATATCGTTGCTTCTTCGTTCTCTTCTACCCCGCTTCTCCTAGTGATGAGAAAAGCTGTGAATTTGAAGCGGGGCTGAGATTGAAAGCTGTTCTGCTCCATGTATCCGGATAGATGGGCTGTCGTGCGCTTGTCCATTCTCTCTTCGCTTTTGTTCAGACCTACTTCATGTGTTCTAGCAGGTCGCTGCGTAGTCTTGCATCTGTATTGAAATTAACATAGACAAGTCTCTACAACATTTAAAGTAGGCCTGAACAAAAATGGCAGAGAAGATGGACGAGCGCACAAATGTCCATCTTCCCGGATACATGAAGCAGAACAGCGTCCAGTCCTCAACCCCGCTTCAAGTTCGCAGCTTTTCTCTTCACTAGGAGAAGCGGGTAGAAGAAAGAACGAAGAAGCAACGATATGCAAAAAGGAAAGGGGCTGAAAAAGCCTAAGACGAAACTCATCGGAAAACAAAACAAAACGCCGATTGCATTTTCAGAATTAATTACATGCACTAACCAGGCAGATGGCTGTGGAAACTACGCAGCGGCTTCCTGGAACAAATGAAGTAGTTTTGAGCAAAAATTACGAAGAGGGAATGGACGAGCACAAGAACAGACGTTTTGTCGCATACGCAGGGCAGAAATGCGCTAATTCTTCAACCCCGCTTCGAGTTCGAAGCTCTACTGATCAAAAAGGAAAGCGGGGTGGAGGAATAAGGCCAAAATGAGAGAAATCTGAAAGAAAAACCGTTGAGAACGGTCAAAATCCTCCAACTCCCGCCGTTCAAAACGGTGCGGTGCGGCTGCAGCGCATGCAGCACAGTTGTGGGACTGTTCCCGCTTCCAGCACAGTGCGAGAACTGTGCGGGAACAGTTCCAGAACATGGGAGTCAGTATGAACCCAGCCTTTTGTGCACTATCCCAGTATCCGCATCCCAAAATTGAAACCATGAATCTTGCTCAAACTTGGTTTGATGGGGTTGTTCAATATGCTGATTACGAATAACTTAATCTTTTTACGATTTGGAAAGGCCTTGGAATACTGGGATAGTGTGCTAAAGCCGCTATGGGCGGCTAACGGCGGCTGCCGGAGCGGTATGAAGGCACCCTAAAGCATGCAAGTGGGCGGGGCGACCATGGTCGCCCCGCCTACTTTGCTACTTCCGGAGCGAATTTCTCGCTCCAGAAGCAGTCTTTTGCGGCGAAGCTTGGGGGTTTGCCTAGTGTGTGGGCCCACTATAGTATGCCATCATAATCTCGCCAACCTCCATTTTGGGTGGACGATGCCTTCAAGAAAGGCTGGTACGATCGATTTTATCCCGTGCAGTAGTTCATTTTTTGCACCAAAAAATGGTCATAGCTTCTTACCCAAGTTCGCTCTGCAGAGGAGAGCAGATTTGGAGTCAGCGCTTCAAGCCGTCACCAATGGTATGCAGTTTGTGGCGATCGGCCACTTCTGCTTCGTGCCCCTCCCTAGTAAGCCCTTCAATGGTGGCTCAATGATCGTCGGAATCCACACCTCATAGTTTTTTCCTACCATAATCTTAGCAATTTTTCTTGACATCTATAGTTAGATTTGAGTTTTTTGGAATAATTCAATGCTACCAAATTCCACTTTTGAAAACCTCCCATAAAACAATAAACAGCTAGCATCTGAGGTGTCATATGATGCAGCTTTTATTTTTTTCTAATCAGTGTTTCTTCTTTTCGATTTGTTGAGTCTGAGGGAAGAAAATCATCGTACAGTCTTTGTATATGTTTACTTGAGCCGATCACCAAGATTATAGCACGCTTTATTCAATCAGGCTAACGTTTCGGTGCCTTCACCTTCGTCGGAGCCTCGGCTGTCTTCGAATCGGGGTCGAGGCACCACTAAACACAGCGTCTGCACAGTCAGTAGACTATTGTAGCCACCACTAAACACAGCGTCTGCACAGTCAGTAGACTACTGACTGTGCAGACGCTGTGTTTAGTGGTGGCTCGACCCCGATTCGAAGACAGCCGAGGCTCCGACGAAGGTGAAGGCACCGAAACGTTAGCCTGATTGAATAAAGCGTGCTATAATCTTGGTGATCGACTCAAGTAAACATATACAAATATCTACATCATGCCAAGATTTATCAATAATCGAGCTTGGAGTCTCATCGTACAGTCTTTTCAACCCGGAGTAGGCGAAACATTCCAAATGGAACCATCCGCATCGCCACGGACTCAACGAGATAGATTAAAATGAAGTGACCAGACTGCAAAAAGGCGCGAATCGTTGCGAAGCGGACTCTCGCCATTCCAATTTTCGCCTAAACTGAGTTGAAACTTACTATAATTCTCATTTTTGAACGCTTTCAGGCCGAGCGGAAAGATTCAAAATCAATATTCCGAAGGTAAACAATCAAATTCCTGCCGGGATTAACCATGGTCTTTTTTTAAAAATTTTCATATTCCTATAATTTATAAGTGTTTCCGTTCTTGTAACGACATCGCAAAAGTGAAAACTTTCGAAAAATCATTCTGAAAAATGCTGAAAGTTATTTTGAGGCGACGAGTCCACTGTATTGCACCTTGTTTACGTAGTTCACCTGTTAGCGAAGCTTTTTCAAAAGTTCAATGAAAAATTGAAAATTAGTTGAAATTAGGGTAGGTGAAAAACATGAGTTGGAGATTGCGACAATTATTCGAATGATCGTCAAAGTACTCGAAACAAAAATATCACTGCTAAGAAGAATAAAAAGGTTTTGCATCGGGCGCTGTTAAGAGCATTTGTCCATAATTGTACTGACTAGTTTAAGGGTAAGAAACGGCACAATTTTTGGACCGACCTATACATATACAAGTTTACTTTGGGCGAAGAAATTACTTGTCTGCCACGTATATGTAACGACATGATACACTCAATGCAGGAATAAAGGATGAATAGGTTATTAGAAGCTCATGCGAAAAAAGGTATGGAGACATGGGCAACTTCTGTTGCACCAGGTACAACAGGTGCCCAGCGCAAATGAAAGTTGCATCTTTTCAGAGTGCATGATATAACCAGGGTCAAGCAAAGATGTGGCACAGGATCGCTAAATCGCTAGACTCCTTCCCCCTAATTGCTTTCATGATAAGGCCCCCCCTGAACTACTGCTTATCTAAGATAGACATAACTTGAAGTCTCTACCAAGCGTAGGGACTATTACATTTATAATTAGCATATCAAATAAACCATGTGGACGAAGTTTGGGCGAATTCTGAAATTTTCAGACACTGGGCCACCTGAGTGAGGTGTTGCCACCCCGTACAAAGTAACACTCCTTCTCTGCCCAACCCAGAAATCCCGCTCTAAAAGACCTCCAGATTGTGGAATTAGAAACCAACCAAAATCTCGTTTTTTCCATTTTTCGCTTTTAATGGCTTTTCACCACTTGTTACTCAGAGCAAAGGAGACAATCGAGTTCAGTCTGCTCATATGAAATCTACAAGGTTTGAAGTATCGAACCATATAAATATCACTCGCTAAAAAATTAACTCTTCATTTTATCCAATATCTCTATGTGAGTTAGTGGCGGTCCGAGAAATTTTTTTCGGGGGGGGGGGGGCGACAAAAATTTTTTTCTAAAGAAGGTGCGTGGCATTAGCCACGCACTCCGAAAAAATTTTTGGGGTGCTTCTCAAAATTTTTGGGGTCCCCGACCCCTAAAATCTGGAGAAAGGGGGCGTGGCGTCAGCCACGCCCCCGAAAAAAATTTTTTATAAGGCTAGAATGAATTTTTAAAAAATTTTAAAAATTATTTTAATTATTTTAAAGTGCAAACAAGTCGTTTGCACATTTTTACAACCCATATAGGTAAGTTTCAAAAATTTCGCGACCCATTCTCGGCAGCATTTTTGCATTGAATGGCTCAATGTTGAAGATTGTGCTTTTTTATTCATCAACTTCCTCCTAACTCCGCTGTTCTATTCGTTGCTTTTCACAGCATCTTGACTAGATCCGTCACGCTAAACATTCGAGGGTATGATACACTTTGGAGTCAAGTTTTTCTTAGGAAATGGTGCATATCCAATTTTGAGGTATCATTATATCCAGGCTGATGAGAGATAGTAATATGATTTTTTTCAAACAAATTTAGTTATCAATGGACTTTAATATTGAGTGACTGGACCTCACGTCTTCCTTGTTGTATACCTTGAACCCTCCCATTACTAATCTGTCAAAGCTTCCACCGCTTGAAGAGTTTCAAAATTCATTTGCAACAAAACTGACATTTCTTAGTGCAGCCTGTACAAGCTATAAAGGCTCCACTACCTCTGAAAATGTTGTGAGAATTTTACAAGCAGGTTAAAGTCCTAAAGGGCTACTCTCGTTTGTTGTTGTGAAAAAGCGATTTTTACCTGTATTCTTGCAGGCGCTATATATAAAATTTCCTCACATCAGAGATCACCTGGATGTGTAAGCCTGATAAGTTTGATAAAGGCAGTGTTCAGCCAAGAAATCGATTTTGAAGTTTTGTGCTTACCTTAGCCTATTCGGTATGGCTGAAGCCGGATATTCGTACTGGAAAGAGCGAAAACGGGGCAAAACGGCTAGATGAGGAAAATCAGCAGGCGGCTCCGATTTCAAGTCACTTGCTGCACTTGGCCGATGGGGCTTTGAGGCGGCTTGCGAATGCGAAAGGATCGCTCCCGAATTTGGGACGCGACTTCAAAGGGTGAAAGACCCCACCCATATGCTGATTCTCCTACTGCATACTCATACCGAAGGCATACCTCCGAAGGGCAAATGCCGGGGGTCTGCCACTCGTGCTCCGGAGCCCTCCCTTTTAACCCATTTTGGTGCTCCGGAGGCTTCTCCAAATCTGGCGCACCCCCGGAGCAGAGATTTGCGAGCCCCGGGGAGGGGTCCCATTTGCCTTCTTGTGACGTCATAAGGAGGAGGAGCCCCCGGAGCACCAAAATGGATTAAAAGGGAGGGCTCCGGAGCACGAGTGGCATACCCCCGCTGGGCAGAGCCCGGGACCCTCTGACTTTCGCTGCAGAGGTATGCCGTCGAATGTTTGAGTAAGAGCTCCTTTTCGCCGTTTTCGCACTCTCCATGTATTTTCGAGTTCAGCATAGCGAATAGGTTCAGATAAGCACGAATTCTCGAAATCGACATTTTGCGCAAGCACTGCACCCAGAGGTTTTAGGGTTTTTGATCAGACTGTTCCAAGTTTGTAGCAGACTTGTATATGAAATCATTGTTGTCTAAATCGCAAATCCATTATTTAAACAAATAAAACAGCGTTGGTGTTATATGTAGGTCTCCAAATTAAACTTGACCCGTACCAAATTTTGTCCACATATATGCAATTTGGGGCTGAGCCGACGTCATCGGCTTTTTCGTTATCGGTCGATATTGATTTTATCGATTTTTGCAGCTTTGAGCTACGGGATTCGGCACAGGGAGGTAAGTGAGCATGCTGACCACGAAAATATAGTGTGGGCAAGAAATTGCATATAGAAGTGGGACGGGACAGACAAAATGCTGCATAGATTTGGAATGGCGACCTTTTTTTATATGTATTGTCAGGGCTGGGCAATGCTGGATGCTAGCTGGTCCTAACCAGAAATGAATCTTTCTAATAGTAAATTTCGTATGCTTCAGAATATCGAAGATTATCTGTCATTGTACTTTTACTGGGCAACCCAGACTGAGAAAATTTGTCCGCTTTTTATGAGTCATGATATGGAGACAATCATAGCGATGCAGTCTGAACGAATATTCGAAACTTCTCAAACACTAAGGAATTGGTTTACAACTCCCAATCGTTTTCCGCAAAAAAAGTAATCTCACCGATGTTGCGCGTAGTCCATTTAGTCAATACGCTCTTTCCGTATCTATACGCATGACCTCAATTAGGTGTGGGAGTCTGTAATCTGCGAGCATTAATAGTATCAACAAGACTTAAGAATGAGCCTGCAATTGTGCATCGTCTTCGCTACCCTTCAATTGAAGTATCCAAGCGCTTATTCCTGCATTGCTACTGTCGCCTAGAGGAACGAGGTCAATTTTTGCAGATTCTATGACCGCTCAATAGTACTGAGCTTTCGTCGAAATGAAACTCATCGATACCTGACTGTAGCTCAAAAATACTGAAATGAAAGCTAGCAGAGCGTCTGTGACCGATTCTAGAAAGATCACGTTGAAAATGGTTGTTAGTATGTAATTCAGAGTCCTGCTTGCTAGCTGTAGTTCAGCCCTTCTATGCTTGCAAGCTCAAAAGAACTCGCTCGTTTCTTTCACAGTTTTGCTCGAACTAGGCTAGACATGTACAAAGTTAAGTCAAACTATGTTTCATTCGTGGAATGTTCTTGTGTTGCTAAGAACATGCTATTACTTCGGCGAAATCATTTTGTCCTAAATCCTCTGTTCACATTTTACTCTGCAACATATTCTATTATACAATTTTTCTAACATAATACGCAATACAAGAAATTCATTTTTTGTACTTAGAGCCACATTCATCGAAACCTATAGCTTTATGCAGGTGTATGAAATAAAACATAGAACTTTTCTTTTCTGAAAGGTGCATTTTTGGTTCTTAAAAAGGAAAAAAGACTTTGTTTTGGATTCTTTTCAAAATTCAGCTAATTAAGGCATTTGCAATATTCATGTTACATTGCTCTATATTATTCCAGTGACGGCAGTTGCTAGGCCAGGCACTGTACCGAGGACCATGTTCAGGACACCCGCAGTACCTGCAGCTGCAAAACGAGTCGCATCCGCAGGGCCCATGGTGAATGCAGTATTCGAACCACCCGCCGTCTCTTCCACAACAGATGAACCCGTCGTATCTGCAGTACCTGTGAGACCCGCAGCTCCCGGCGAACCTGCACTGACCGTGGTGCTTGCGGTGCTCGTTGTAACTGAAGGGCCGGCCGCACCTGAACTGCCCGCAATACCTGCGGTACTTGGAGAATCCGCACTGCCTTCTGCATCCGCACTTCCGGCTGTGCCTGCGGTTATCATAGGACCCGCAACGCCCTCCGCTCCGGGACCTAACATATCTGTGATCCCCATAGTACCCGCAACTCCCATCGGACCTCCGCTGCCCGTCGTAATCGCTGCACCTGGAGAAACCGGAATTTCCGTCCTACCTGCACTGCCTAGTGTGCCTGCAATACCTGTAGGACCCACAGTGCCTTCCGCCCCCGGACTACCTATCGTACCTGCAATACCTGTAGTAGCTGCGAATCCCGGCCAATCTGCAGTACCGATCGTACTTGGTGGACCTGCACTAGCTGAGAGTAAATTTGCTTTCAACTTTGGTTTTGCTATAAATGTATCAGGTTGGCACATGTGTGATAATGCAACCCTATATAACTTTTGTCTTCTTGAACGTAGCGCAATCTTTTTCTGGCAATATAACGATTAAGACGTGAACTACAAATGCAGATAATTTTGCTGAATGTCGTCCTATACAGGGATTACGGTAGGTTTACGGTGTAATGGGAAGAATTTTACGGTGCGTCAGATCTCGCTGAAACTTGGCCTATGGGGGTTATTCGACATGCTGATCACAAAAATGAGACCTGTTTCGCATGAAAAAGCCTCTTTCGTAAGGTCAAGAAATGGATTTCATCTCAGCGAAAAGTGAATATGATATTCGTGTTCATCGTATTGGGCTACTATATTGTGCAAAGTTTTTGCGAGTTCTGAGGTTCCGCAGCTTGTTAATGAGAGATTGTCTTCAATTTGACGCATTTATCTTAATTTGTCTTCAAATTCTATTTCTTTTTTCTACTGATTCTAATATGTCAGTTTAGCTACATGCTGCCTATAATTCCTTTTTAATACGTTTCATTCAAATCTTGTAAGGCTTCGTTTGCCCAAGAACCGTGAAACCTCAGTTTTCAATTTTTGAAAAATGCTTGAATTTTCTCTACTACGCTATCAAAAATTAGACAGTTTGCGCAGAGTTGCAGCTTAGTTAACATTCTACACGATGCCAGAGATTGGGAGTGCTCTACTAAGAAAAAAGTCATGCCAAAAGTTGCAAAACTTATGTGCCAACCTAATAGTTTTGAACTTGTTTGGCAGACGAAAAATTAGGGATTTATTCGAAAATCCAGTGCTTTATCACAAGTTCGGCGAATAATTTAGACTGCGTTGCCGCTTGTCCTTCCATCTATAGCAATGACTGTAATGGCTACGGTGCAATATGCGCGAGTGCCACAGAAGCCTTAGCTGCAGTGATCAGCACAGGAGCTGAATGCCAGTATGTCTGAGTTCTTTCGTCTAGTAAGAGATATAACGAGAAAACTAAGCTCTACACACATATTTGTATCAGTTACAAGAGTGATTTCACCCACACCACCCTGTACAACGTTTTTAACTGCACTATTACAGGCAAACATGGGTTTGCCCCTCAGGCACCTCAGCGTATTATTATACATCTCTCATGTCCGAACCTTTAGCATTCCCAGGTAGCTTTTCAGGTTTATAAGTATGCACACTCAAAGCACTTGATATCTTTGCATTTTTAGCTAATTATGCTAGCTGTCTCCCGTCAGGTGGCGGTACTTGGACTATTCCCAATAGTTACACAACCATCGCAGCACTCGCATGTCAAGGAAGAGGAATTTAGACCACGTCTTCTATCCATTGTAAACTTATATTATTATATGTTCATTACACTGAACGGCTTGCATGACTGACTTACAAGTAGCTAATTGTAAGTAGAATACGTTTTATTGGCTCAAAGTTTGAATCGTTTTTTATTGCTTCAAGGTCTGTGAATGGAAAGTTTATGGGTTACTTTCGAATTCTTATAAATTTCTTACATGTCGCTACTCTGTGATGCTTTGTCGTGAGCAAATATTAGGTTGAACAGAAAGTTCTGTCACTTTGACTTTAAAAACTCGTAACTGCTCCCTATGTAAACATTTTTACCTACAAGAAATAACCTCAAATAAAAAAAATTCATCTTTGTTCTAATTATAACATTGGTTCTCTTTAAAAATAGGTAACTCCAGAAATAAAAACGAATATGAGACCCACCCAAACTTCCGACTTTCGAAAAAAAAAATCTGAAACACTGCAGAGAAATCTGAGGGCATGCTTCTTACAAGTTCTGTGACCTGCTCCTTCCAATGATTCCAAATTTGGGCTGATTGAGCTTTCTATGAAATGTCATGATTTTTATGAAAATGCCAAAAACGGCGAAAATGACGTTTGTTTATTGTGCATTTCACGAAAATCATAATTTTTAAAACTCGATCAGCACACTTAGCATCATTAGAAAGAGTAAGTTATAAAACCATAGGAAACATGCTCTCAGATTTTTCTGCAGAGTTGCAGATTTTTGACGATTTATTTTCGAAAGTCGAAAGTTTGGGTGGGTCTTACATTCGAATTTTTATTTCTGGAGTCAGTTATTTTCAGAAAAGCTCAGTGTTATAATTTAATGTATAAGAAATCGTGAGCTCATTTCAAAATCTTCCAATAGCAGGAAACCTCGTGGCGGACCCGCAGCGACAGCCGGAACATCTGAGACTGTGCGGGACGGGGGATTAGGCAGCAATCAAATCCATTTTCTTTTATTTCCTTTTCCAGCAAGTTTTTTGTTCTTTGTTTTCCCAAATAAACTTTATTCTATGTACATACTTACTCGGTACCTGCTTTTATTTCTGCACACTGTGAATACCTCCTCTAATGAGTCGTCACCTTCTTCTCCGCCAGTCTCATCTATTAGGTTCGTGCAAAAGTTCTTTCCCACCAAATTCAAAAATTCATAATTTGTTGAATTCTCAACGAATCTGCAAGACCTAAATTTTGTATAAGAGAAGAACTAATGCTTTTTGCAAATGTACTTGAAGTGATCGTTAATGTGTACAAATGAAGGAGATAGAAGCTGAAAACCGAAATCACTCAAAATTTGAATTTTTCGTGTAGGGTCATAAAAAATCGGAAGCTTGCAACAAAAATCGGAGCAGTCAGTAATGTAGGTTATTTCACCAGCTCTTTCTAACAGTGTAAAGTTCGCGCCGATTGAGCGCCTCTGTGAAAAGTTATAAATTTCCTAAATGCCAAAATAAATTAAATTCGCCCTTTTGTATTGCTTGCTCGAAAATCATAACTTTTTATAGAGGCGCTCAATCGGCGCGAACTTTACACTGTTAGAAAGAGCTGGTGAAATAACCTACATTACTGACTGCTCCGATTTTTGTTGCAAGTTTCCGATTTTTTATGACCCTACACGAAAAATTCAAATCTTGAGTGATTTTGGTTTTCAGCTTCTATCTCCTTCGTTTGTACACATTAACGAATAGTTCAGGTACATGTGCAAAGAGCATCTCTCTTATGCAAAATTTTGCTTGTACGAATTCGTTGAGAATTTGAAGAGTTATGGATTCTTGAAAATGGTGCGAACGAACTTTCGGGACAACCTAATATATTGTGGATGTTTTCCAACCAGATTTGTAACCTTTCAATGCAGTGTTGGATGTCCAGAGTTTTAACCAAATGGAAACAAAGAGTTGTTGCATTTGCGGCAAACTTATTTCGCATTTCAGAAAGCCGATCAACCTAGCTTTATGAAGCTCTTAATACGAAGTCTTCGTTGTAATGCATTTAAATGAGAGTTAAAAGTTGAGGCTATTGACAGTTTTGCCGTTGCTTACTGTTTGCATAAAGGCTGTTAACAGCCCTCAAACCAGTCAAAAGTACGCACTTCTTAAACTGAATAGGTGAAGATAGATCGCGTCGTGATGATTTATTATGATGACATGCGCTGCAGTCGAAATCCGGAGCGAGAGAAGGGAGAACATTATAGTGTTTGTATAACATTTCTTTCTTGCTTGTTCATAGCCTTAACTGATAAGCAGTGCAGAATTTCATTCACGGGGCTCGACTATTGTATTATCGGCTCTCCAAAAGTATGGCGCGGATTGCCAACGTTTGATACGTACGCGTGGCTGTTTTTGTTAGCTGAAGAGTACGAAAAGCAAGGTTTTGTCATAGAGTTTCTACAAGTTTCCGACAGTCATATGTCTACAAATGCAGTACCCGTTATACTTCTGGGAATCGCCTACTCGAAGACTACCAATTTGTTGCTCTCTATTTCATGCGTTGAATCACATATTACCCAGCCCGAAAGAGTCGATGATGACCTAGCCACCGTCTTCGTCAAACTCATGTCTGCCTCTATCATCGCTTCCGACTACTGCTTTATATTGTCTTAAATGCCCAGTCTGAGTACTGTGGTCCTTCATTTGACGCCGCATACCACTCGTACTGGGGACAGTCGTTCGGTAATGGAGCCCGCTAAGTCGGAGAAAGCCACCGGAGTCAAGCCTGAGATGTGGCACCAGAGAGCCTGAGGTGCGCCACACCCGAGGGAGTACTCAGACGATCGCTGGAGGCAAGCGGTCCGCAAACTCGCGCTTTTCTGCAGGCGGTCAGCAGAAAATTGGGGCGTGGCCAAACCTCCAGCGGGCGGCACTTCCTTTGCTGTCGCATATTTTGCCAGCGGGCAGCAATACAGCATTTTGTGCAAGCGCTCGGCAAATAACTTTTTTCAGCGAGCGCTGGCCAAACTTTCAGCAAGCGCTCGAACTCTTTAAAGCAGTTTCGGAAGTAGGCCGAGCAAAGGTAAGACTCTGTATCGCAGAGGTGTCATCGTCGGTTTAATTACTCAAGTTTGAGGTACTTTCTCTCAGCGGAAAGTACCTGAGGGCTGTGCGGTCCTTCGTAAGGGACCGTGCGGCCGTCAATAATTTTGCGTACTCTCGCGGAAAGTCCGCAAGAGTGCGGCCAATGCGCCGCAACTAATCTATAGGAAAACCGCGATAGTTCTACGGGCATTAGTCTGAAAATTGGTCAAGATTCCTCCAAATTTCTGCAAGCGGGCCGCAACAAATCAGCGAACTATTTTTCCTGTGCCCGCTTGCTCAAAATTCGCATGGCCGCCTGCCCCCCACGATTATCTGAGTATTGAGAGGTCAGAGGAGAGAGGGGTCGTAGCCGAGGTGGAGGGAAAAACAAGCTGTGATGGCTGATTTGAGTAAAGGAGAGAGGGATGGACAAAGCCACATGCTGGATTTGACTGAATGAGTAAACACTATACTGAATGAATCTGAAATCTGAGCAGCATGCTTTAACCCCGCCTGCGAGAACGAGCACATTGATATTGACTGCCAACGTTTACCTACCATAAGCATAACCGAGACTTTACGCAGAATGAGTACCTTTGCGTATTCCGAATATGAACTAACAAAGAAAGGATACTTGATCGAAGTGGCGTAACCATAGGAAATGTACAATGTTTTATAGGGCATGGAACGCTGATTCCGAATCTGCTTTCATTGTCTGCAAAGCGCTTCTGAGAGAGAAGTTTTGGAAATTTTTTGACGCAAAAATTTTAACGCGCTGCTACAATAAAAACAACAAAACTGTAGTTTGTAAGCTCAGATGGGGCCATAATAACTGCAAGGGCACTTTGTGCAGCTAATATCTTCAATCCGATAAGTTCATGTTAGTGCTATTCCTTTTCAATCGCGAGAAAGACCTCAACACTTGTTTTTACTTTAGCCAAACCTCGAATTATTTTCTCAAAAAATTCTCAAACTTCTGTCCCAAAACTTGCAGATATCGGAAGCAAATTTGGACGCAGCAATTCCTGCTTTGTAAGGCAGTATACACCTCATAAAGCAACTGCGCTTCGGCCGAGTATCTTTTCCTTGTAAGTTGTGGGCACTAAGGTTAATCTAAGGTTTGCAGATATTAGGCTACCTGGGTGATATGGTCTTTCCAACCATAATGAACTCTGCTTCGAAAATGCATGGAGCCACTTTTCTACCCAAAACAAAGCACTACTTCTCTTTGGACTAGTGTTAGAAATTCACACTAGATAACCCAAAACATTGACATGATCCAACCAGAAATGAGATTTTTCAATGAAAGAATTTTGAGCCATGACACCAAAAATGAGCCACTTAGGCTGTAGCAGCATGACAGGCCCTCTCCACACAAAATTTAGAAGGAAAGATTTTCTTTGACATACGAAAGCTGTACAGGTATGGACGGGTAGAGAGAAAGAGTGAAAGCTTAGTTTAAGGTGCGAGACCTTTCTTCTGAAAAATGAAAGCAGTTTGTAGACTCGGAGTAAATAATCACAGGGCTTTAAAATGCCAAATGTAGGAAACTGCGGCCACTTCGTCGGATCATTTGGGCAAAGAGATAAGCGGGAAAAGAGATAAGCGCCAATGAAGTCTGAGTCTTACTTAGGGAATTATGAAAAAGGAATATAAGCACCTTGGCTGGAAAATCCTAGGAAAGCGGATTTTGGCGCTTTGACAGGGGTACACTGAGGGAGGCAGGCAGGGAGAGACAAAAGGGCACTACGTAAACTAGGGGCACTCCTAGGTACAAAAACCTTAGCAGAAAAATCTCTAAAGCTGTAAAATGCAAAATTTGAGAGAAGTAAGGACCTGTGATTGGACAAGCTTAAGAAAGGAGAGGGAATGGACACAGTGGGTTTAATGCCTCTTACTCAGGAAGGGACGAGAAACCTTGAGCATCGTGGCCATGAAAGGATCTGCGGGATGGATTCTGGTGCTTTCGCATGTATTGACTACATCATTTGAG